ATAGGCGAGTAGGAATCCGTTCGGTAGGCCGTCCTCCCCGGGTGCCTTCCACTTTATTATTTATTATATAGCCTACTAAACCTCCTCTTCTATAACCTTTTACGTAAGTAGTATTACCGCTATCCTCAGCGCGCCGCTAATACGCCCGCTTTCTATAAGGTATAGTAGGGGGAAAAACTTCTTTATAAGGATTATCGCTTTCCCGTTACATATTATCGCGACTAGTCTGCCCGTACTACGCTATAAGGGCGGGATAGATAGGAGGTCTAGGGGTAGGTAGCTTACTATCCGGGCCTAGCGTTATAGTGCCTAAAGGCTTTTCTAGTCTACTACTATCGTATCGACGGCGCCACGCTAGCTCTTCCGCTTCTTTATTCTAACTAGAATATCGCGATGTTTTTCTACCTCCTTAAGTTTATTCTACCTACCGCGTAACCTCCGCCCGTAATAGCGTCGCGTTAGCCTTATTACCTCTTTATTCGCCTCTGCTATCTCCTACGTCCACTATAACGGCCTATCGCGGAAGGTGGCTAGCTTGCGGCGCGGTGTTATAGTGTCCGCGATACTAATAAGGTCCTATAGTATCTGGTTTACTACTTAGTCGATTACTTCCGGGGTAAGGGGTATTTCTCTATAGTCTAGCCTTTAAGCCTTTTTTTAGGCCGCTTCCTAGTCTAACTTTCTCTACCTTTATCCTTTATTAGCGATACGCTAGCGCGGTTACGCTATATTAATATTAATTACCTAGGCTATATAGTCTAAGCCTATTGGGTCTAGATTATCCCCCTAGTATACGTATATAAGGTCCGCTAAGACCTAGGTAAGGTTTAGCGTGCTATACTATTAATTAGTATTAGCCGATATCCTAGTAATATATCCTTTCAGGGTTATAAGGTCGAGTTACTATCGGTGCGCGAGCGTAATAAGGTCTTCCGATTATCTTTCGTATCTATCGTACCCATCCTAAAGGGGATTCTTTAGGTTAAAGTCTTCTATTAGGACGGTGCGCTACTGCTCCGGTTCCGCCCCGAGTTTATATATCGGGGTCTTTTACTCTCCTCCCTCATAGTATAGTAAGTATACTACCTATATATTTATCTCCTACTATTATATCCTAACTCTGATTATAGCCTAGGCCTAATCCTTACCCGTACGCTACGTAAATATAGCGGCCTTATACCGCTTATATATATAAAGTAGGGCGTGCCTACTCCTTTATACTATCCTATAATTATATCCCCTCGGGTAAATCGGGTTCTTCCTCTTATCTAACCCGGGCTTTATTACCGTTATTATATCGTACCCGCTATAATTATAAAGCGCCTACTATACTCTATCCCGCCGTCCTCTTATATTCTACTAAGCGATTCTAATTATTTATCTTAGGCGGCTACGCCGCGTTTACTTCGCTTTATAGTTACGCCTTAGGTATAGCCCGGGGGTAAGGGATAAGGCTTTATAGGGGTTAGAAGGTATTATTAAAGGCGAGGAACCTTATAATATTATTATCCTGCGTAGGCGTAAAGAGGGCGGTGCGCGATCTAAGGAGGATATTCCGTGACCCTAGGGGGCGCCCTTCTATTTTCTTTTTTTCTCGGGCGGTTCGGGGACCACTATCGTGTTTAGCGACGCTATAAAAACGCTACGCTCCCTCTCCGCCCTATATTTCTCGAGTTAGCTAAGGTCGAATCCCTTTACTCTATTAGTGTATACCTCCTTAGTCCGCGCCTTTTCCTTTACTTTACTTAGGTATTTATTATCGAATACCGTGTACGGCCCTTTATAGGCGGCGTAATGCTTTTTCTTCGGGTCTATCTTAGCCTTATACGCCGCGAAGCCCCCTCGGTACGCCGACTCTACGCCGTTATAGTACCCGTATAATACTTTTATTACATAGCATTAACCTGCTTTATATCCGAAGTCGAGGTACTTAAAGCATTATTATAGGGAGATCTCGGGGTTATAGGGTTCGCTATTATAGTATCCGTAATTAAAGAAGACTCCCTCCTTTATTAGTCGCTCCGTGTCCTTAGGGCGGGTAACCTTAATAGTTAGTAGCGCTATCCGCGCTACGTTATTCCTAGGTTTCCTGGCCTTAATCCGGGTAATCGCTATATTATTCTATAGCCGAAGTTCTTATAGCGCCGCGTTAGGGTTATAAGTTAGTAGCTACGCCGTCGGTATTCCTTTTACTATAACTTAGTACGTTTTCTCGTGTATCGTGGCTCCTATACCGAATACGCCTTTAACCTAGTTATTCGCGTTCGCTATCTACTATTCGTTCCTATACTTAAACGTAAGAATCACGTTACCGCTTAGGAGTCGTCGCGCGGCTATTATATCTACACGGCGGGTAATCTAATTAACTGCCTTAGTAATCTCTTATAGGGTTCGGCTTTTAAGGTCAGTCTTAGCGTCTCCGTATCGGACTATTAGCTCTCGGGCGTATCGGGTAGGTATAACCTTTACCGGTGCTATCTCGATACGTTAGCGCTACGCGGGCGTACTCCCTACTACCTAGGCATAGGTCTTAGGTCCCGTTACTCCGAGTAGTTCTATTAGTATACCCTTAATCGCTTATTAGATCGTGTCGGTAAGCCCTTTAGTCGTGAGAGGGGGTATATCGCTACCGGGTTATTAGCGTAGCGGCTTCCCTATAATAGTCTCGTAGTATTACGTTTAAAGGATCTTCTATACTAGCTTTAGAGTTTTATCGGCGCTTACCCTATTAGCTAGTAGTCCGGAAAATTAGGTATATAGTTTATATAGTGCGCTTTCGGTACGCCCGCTTAGTGCCTAGGATTTTTAGGGCTCTCCCGGGGCCACGCGCCCCGGGTTAGTTCTAGTCGTCGTATTCTAGGCGCTCTATAGTGGTATGCCAGTATCGCGTTCGGTTAGCCCTACGGGCCGCCCTATAGTATATAACTCACCGCGCCCTCTACCGTCTCGCTGCGATATCGGTCTCCGGTGCTTTTAAGGGCGTAGAGTCCGAATCCGATATCAGAATTGATTTTATCGATAATGCGGCACCTTAGGGGCACTTTCGGCTTAACGATACTCGTTTACGCAGAAAATTTTAAGAGATACTAACTATAAACGGTAAAGAGTATCCTATGCTTCCTCTATATAGTTATATACGTAATAGTCTAAATACGTATATAGCCGCGAAGACCGAACCCTAGCTTTTATTACTACCCGCGCCTTATAGTAGTATCACGGCTATAAAGGACTTACTCGAAAAGGAGGGCTTAGATATAGAATAGGCTATAATAGGAACTAATAAGACTAATCTAGCCTTTTCGGATATAAAAAGCGAGGGTAGTAATTAATTCTAATCTAAGGCTCCTTTTAATCTAAGGCTCCGTGTCGGAAGTTATTAAAAATATACGCTTTCGGCCGCGAAGATCTATCGTTAACGCTAGCACCTTACTTTTACCCGCCTCCTCCTATTCCTCTATACCGTAATCCTCCTTTTTTATATAAGCCTACGCGTTAGTATCCGGTACTATCTTAGTCTTTACTACTAGCGGCTTAGTCTTTACTACCTACGGCTCGGTATACGTTACCGGCTTAGTCTTAACCGTTACCTTTACGGCTTATTTCCTTTTCCCTTTTCCGGTCTACTTCTTTACACGGGTCCCCTTTCCGACTTCCTTCTTTATAGCGATTAGCACCTCCTCGTCGTTATTATTTTATATCGTATCGTTACGTTTACTCGAGGTTAGCTTTAACAGGTCGGGGACCTTAGTCTTTCGGAGGAAGGTAAAATAGTAATCCTTTATTAGACTAAGACCCGATTCGCGTAGAAACGTATAGAGCGTTATAGTATTATACGCCTTATTTCGGAAGAAGATAACGGTTTTCGGATTCTTCTAATCGTATAGAAAGACCGTAAAGTCCTAGTTAAACTAGTATTTATCGGATATAAACTGGCTTATAAGGTAGCATATAAAGTCTTAATAGTTCGGAAAAATCTAGTCCAGTATAATCGAAACACGGCCGGTAATCTTTTATCCTCTAATCTTTATAAACTTTAAGATATCCACGCCGCCGATATCTTAAACGTAATACTCGCCGCTATATAGGCTAATACTAATCTCCTTTATAGCCTACGGCTGCTTTTCTTTCTGTGTTAATTAGATACTAGCCCTACGCTACGCCTCGCCGGTTCGAAACGCAGTTAAAAGCACTTTACCCTATACCTACGCCTATATAATAGCGCCGGGCGTATAAAGCGCCTTCGGTTCCGTATCTTCGCGCTTTAAGCGGGGAGGAGTATTTACGGTGAAGTCGATAACCGTGTTATCGTCGTTAATAGGAACGTTAAGAGGAGGTATTAATTCGTTCTTAACGAGTATAGTTTTAAACCGGGCTATACCGTATTTAGCGTATTTTGACTAATCGGGATTAGTATCGAAAAGAATAGTATAATAGACCTTAACGTTAGGGTAGATAAGTATAGTTACGGGCGTTATTATATAGACTATTATATAACCGTTAGCGTAGATGCCTTTTCCAAATAGGGTCTATAATAGTTATACGTATATATATAGGGCTATATAGATAGGGTTTTTATATGTGTGCCCTATGACCCTGCTTAATTATATCTGCACACGCCTATATATAAATCGTACTACTAGGTAGAAGACTTCTACGGTCGGGGTAAACCTATTAATCGATTATTACTATTTTTAGAAGTTGAAACAGACCATCCTGCCGCTTGCCGTAGTTGCTCTTCCAATCGATAGGGTCTCGGGTCTCTTGTCTCTTGCCTCTTGCCTCTGTTCTTCAACACATCAACACATCAACACATCATTTTGATTGTTTGTACGGTTACCGATAGCTCCATCTGCCATCAGTTCGGTGCTACGCTCTACTTTTTGCCCAAACCAAATCTCTTCCACTAGCACCGGCCAGCAACTTCACCGGCGTCTTCTTTACCAAACAACCTCGTCTCTTGCCATCTTGGTCCCTTGGTCCCTACGTCCTTCGATCTTCGATCTTCGACCCTTTTCCGTCGAATCCCGCCTCGCCGGGCATCTCTCGTCTCCAGTCTTTATTCCCTTCGCCATCCCATCCATCATCATCAACCATGCCAGATCTCAACACGGTGCCAGCATCGCCTCACCCCATTCCCCCTTCAACTTCCCGCCGCACCTCCACAAACCAAATGCAACCTCCATCACCATCGTTGAACATTCTCCCTTCCAACCAACCCGCCGTGGAACAGGCCCGTCGCTACTCCAATACGTCCTTACCATCTCCTCGCTTTACCCCTTCTTCCTTCTCTAGCTCAAGCAACCAGCTGCCGATTCAACCCCCGCCATCAGCCTCCGATATGTCTACTATCTCTGGGCCCGGTCCAGTCCGTCATCCCCGACCACTAACTGCCGCTGAACTACATAATCAGCTGGAGAAGGAACAGGAAGCGGTGGTACGTATCTCTCTCTCTCTCTCTCTGGACCCTTCCATCTGCGTGAACCCAGCTCAATCCTCATTGTCCTCACACAGGTCAATCGTCTTTCTCGAGAACTTCAGCTCCTTCGAGCCGCAAACAACGCGTCGGCAGCCTCCAACACCTCCTCTGCGTCAGCCGGAACCGCTTCCCACGAACAACAACAACAACAACAACAACAACAACAACAACAGCAACAACAACAACAAGCTCCCGGCGATTCTAGCCTCCTCACCGGCGCCGGCTTCTCCATCCCCTCCAGCGCCGGCCGCCGTCACAACCGCACAGCCTCGAACACCAGCACCCGCAGTGTTGCCGCCACCATGGGCTCCACCAACGCCTCCACGGCCTCCGGCCTCGCCCGACCGCTCCCCACCCCGCTGTCCCGACAGAACAGTTCCGCCTCCCACCGCAGCATCACCGGAACGTCGCCCGCTGGTACCGACAGCTTTTCCGGCGTGGGCTTCCTCACCGCCTCGCAGCGGATCCCCGGCTACATGCCCACGGGCAGCAGCTACTCCAACGTCACAACGGCGGGCAGCCTGAGCCAGGGCTACACACAGGACTCGTCTCCGCTGACGCCGGGTCTCCTCCCCGGCACGCCGCGGTACGAAGAGACGCTGGTGCAGCGGGAGCAGCTCGAGATGGCGCTCCGCGAGAACGAGGTGCTGAAGAAGCGCATCCGCGAGCTGGAGCGCATGGTGCGCGAGCGGCGTCGTGGCGAGAGTGTAAGTACCGCCACGAGTACAGGTACCAGTACCGGCGCCGGCGCCAATGTCCCTGCTGCTCCGGCGGCGGCGGCGGTTGCTGCTGCTTCTTCTTCTCCTTCTCCTGCGGCGGCTGGTGCTGGTGTCGCGGGCCCCCGGGAACGGCCGAGCATGCGCACTGCCTCGATCAGCGAGCAAAGCGTTGCTGGTAGCGTCGGCGTCGGCGTGCCGGAGGAAGAGGTTCGTGTTGGTGAGAGTGCTTCCAATGCGGGTTTGACGCCGCAGACTTCCGGCGCATGAGGATGAACGAGGCCAAAAGCCAGGGGAGTGGCGTTACGTGACAACAACATTGGGGAAGGTGTTGGGTTCGGAGAGATCATTCATGTTGTCAACTTTCAACGGTGTCTTTGTCTGTCTCTCTATTCTTACGAACGAATGCATTTGTGCTCGGCGAGGTTGCGAGAGAGAGTGGGTAGGGGCCCTATCTGAGGCTCCCTGTTTGCTATCCATGGATTAGTGGCCCGTCCTCTCTCGCTCGCATCTTGATTTTATGGGCGTTACGGGCTGGGACTCGGGCAAACACGCAGGACATGAATCGGCTGCGACCTATTTTTATCATCAACAACGTGGTGATAACTTGTTTCTTTTTCACTTTTCTTTTTCTTTTTCTGCATTTCCAGGTTCCACATCCATCTGTGCATGTCGCTTTTCTTGTCTTGAATCACGACGACGAGAGAGGACCAAGGAAGCCAGAGCCATAAGAAACGGGATCACCTTGTGACTTGTCCAGACTACCTAGCATATAATGGACTCTCTGGTTCCCCATTCATGAGGTGCCACACATCCCTCACATCAAGCTTCTCGTGTCTCTTGACGAGTCCCTGTGTCGACTCAAGTCCCATCTTCTCGACGCTTCGCATCACATTCGGACGCTTCTCGTTCTCCTCGTTCTCCTCCTCGAGTGCCACTTTCAACAGCACAAACCCAAGTCAGTCGAGGACTCGAGCACGGTAAAGAAGTGGTAAATCCGAGTGGGGTGAAGCACTGAAGTCACTTACTGTGCAGAAACACAGCCGCCCTCTTCCCGCTGAACAACGCATGCGGGATATTGGTCACGTTGTCCGAGTTGGCGTCTCCGACAGCATAGACGCCGGGGACATTCGTCAAGAGGCCCTCCTTGTTATTCACCTCCATGCGCCCTCCAACCAGCTCAACGCCCATGTCCGGTCCGACAGGTGACGCCTGTTCCGTCGGAAAATTCGCCAAAAACGCCGCCCGTTCAACGTACCCGTCACCGTCACCAGAGAACTCGACCCGGAAGCGATCCCGATGCGCAACAGACGGCAGGCCCAGCATATCAAACTGGCGCCACTCCTCATCCTTAAACGCCTCCTCGTCGCCTCCCAACCGCACGAGGCGGGCCACCGGCCTGTTCTCGACGCTGATGTTGCGCGAAGCGAGGTACGCCGCCCACCCGGGATGCTCGGCCTCCGCCTGGGCGCGCTGCTCGGGCGTGTCGGTCCCGTTGACGAAGGCGACCATGTCGCCGTTGAGGGTGTGGATCTCGCGCACCAGGCCCGGGACCTTGGGCAGCGGGGCCAGGATGCCGAGCGGCTGGTGGGCGTACTCGTGGCCGTCGCACCAGGGGCACCAGAAGATGCCTTTGCCCCAGGCTTCGGCCACGCCGGGCGTCGAGGGGAGGATGTCGCGGAGGCCGGTGGCGAGGATGATTTTGCGGGCGTAGAGGGTTTGGTTTTCGAGCTTTTGGGAGGGGAGGTCAAGGTGCGCGACGACGGAGAAGAGGGTCGGGTAGGTCGGGTAGGTCGGGTCCGTGGGGAAGCTGCTGCTGTCGTCTTCGTCTCGGTCGAGGGTAGCGGAGACGGGGGAGATGGCGGTCACGGTGCCGTTGACCATGGTTGCTGTGTTGTAGTGGGCTATTTGGGCCCGCGCGATGTGGCGGAAATACGCTGGTGGGACGCCTGCGGTTGGAACAAACAGAATGTGAGTGTCGCGTATTATAGTGGCAGTGAGAATTGACATGCTGGCAGTTGAAAATCGAAGAAGAAGAAAAGAGAACTTAGAGAAGAAGAAGAAAAACAAGAGGCCCTTACCGTCAAACCCGAGAATATCGTGCATTCTCCGCGTGGGATCGTTGCGATAGGTCCCAGAATCAATCATGAGGACGTTGCGACGCATACGAGCGAGGCCACTGAGCGCCGAAAGACCCGAAGGGCCTCCTCCCACGATGATGGCATCGTACAAGGTAGCGGGCGACACATGCTGATTCGGAATGGGGGCCTCGGGGGCCTCGAAGGCCAGGTAGTGTATGGCGAAGACGGAGGCCAAGGTGCCATGGAGCCAGATGCCCAGGGTCAAGCTGAAGACGGCAATGACGAGGTATCGTAGTCGGGTAGAAAGTGTGGGAGTGTGAAACCCTGACAGAAGCTTCCCCATGCTGTCGGCTGAAAAGGTAGTTGAAAGGGTGCGAGGGAGCCCCGACTGCTTCAGAGATGAGAGACACATGAAGATCAAGACGAGACGGGGAGTCGGGGACGTGGGCAATAGTTAACCAGTAGGGCGGTGCGTGCAGGGGTTCAGGTCTTCAGGAAGCCGGAGGGTAAGCCGGAATGGAGTGCCCCATGGAGAACCACTTCCTTGCAGCTCTCCGGTCTTGGTGTGGACGATCCGGGTATTTGATCGTCGGGGGGTGGGAGTCTAGAGGGGGCGGCAGAGATGCGGGATCGTTTCAGTTTAAGATCGGCAGTTGGGTCGCGTCCATGCAGGAAAAGCTTGGTAATAGTGTAAATGTATGAAATCTAGTTAGGGGAGCGGAATATGGTCACAAAGAAAATATGATACACTGCAGTGCAAATCATAAAATAAGTATAATGACTAGAAGGTCGGTGAGAAGAAGTCAAGAAGATAAAAGGGAGGAATGGACATGAGGAGAAGAGGCGAGAGATGGGCCGCCGCCAGGGACAACGAACACATCGCATTTGTATGGACTACACTTACAGAATACGGAGTAATCATGTCGTAGTCCTGCGCTTCTTGGTGTCCCATATCTCCTGGCCTGGCCGAGACGTTATATTGAGATATGCCCCGTAATTACCAGACGGTCCAGAGCTCAGTGCCCATTTCGCGCTCCGAGTCCCAGCAGTCAGAATCCCGGAAATCCGCCACCGATGTAAATGGATTATGGCACCGAATGGATTATGGCACCGAATGGATTATGGCACCGAGCCGTTCCTCGGTGGCTGCTGACGGTTTTCTGCACGAGGCCGGGAGTGGGAGTGGGATGACCCAAGGCCAAGTGGCAAGCCCCTGAATGCATGTCCATGTATACCTGGACTTACACGGATACAATGTCGTCAGGAGTCAGGGGTCAGGGCCAGGGAGTCGAACTCCTGAACGTCATGGACTAGTCCATGGAGATCGAGGTTAACAGGCCGACAGAAGGTTATAAACCATCCAATCGATCATGGAGCCGTGAAAGTCAGTTAGGGCGGGCCGTTCTAATTTACCTTTCGCCCACCAGACCCGTCGACCCTGAACGGAGGTACCCGGAGCTTGGAGTGCCCCGATGGGCCGATTACGGGCCCGGTCGGGTCTTAAAACGCGCCCCCGGGGATTCGGCCCCCAAATATACGAGCAGACGTGACTTATTTCGTGTCACGTCTATTCCTATATCGACTACTGAACTCACTGTGAGACGGCTTTCATTGACAATGACAAACTTGTGGATGCTGATGTATTCGCTTGTTGAGTCCTTTTTCCTAACCATAGCCTCAAAAAAAAAAAAAGAAAAAGAAAAGGGGGGGGGGGGGATAAAATCACATCTCCGACATCACGACCCATCCCCTATACCGAGTCAACCACCTCAATCCTCTTCCTTCCCGTCCCAGACCTTTACCTCCACACAAGTACACCATCGATCCAGCTTGATCGACTGGTTCTCGTCCTCTCCCTCCTTAGACCCGATAAACGTACACCGCGGCTTCTCATTAACGGCAACACACTCATGACTCTCGCAGTCCGAATCCTTCTCACACTTCTCCCCCGTAGCAGGAACCATGGTGGAAGGACAACTGTCGGGCACGTCAAACTGATCATCACCATCACCACCGGCGGGCATCTCAAACGCGCCCCCAAGGCACCAGTGCTGCTCGAATATGGGCACCGCGTTGAACTGGACCTGCAGCTTCCTGACATACCGCGTCTCGCCGCGGACAGTGATGTTATGCGACGGCGAGTACTGCCAAGACGTGAGGCCGTGGAACCCCAGCTGGCTCCCGATGTACCTCTCGACACTAAGCGACGGAGCCGGCAAGTACACATGCGTCTGGATCTGGTCGTCGTCGGCGATCCGGATCGTCTCGCGCAGGACGCGCTTGATCTCCTCCACCTGGTCCGGGTACGCCATGCGCCCGCGTCCGGCCAAGGCCTCGGGCGTGATGATGATGGCGTGGACGAACTGTTCCTTGTCGCCGTCGAACTCGTTGGCGTGCCGTTCGAGACCCGGGTTCGTGCGTCCCCCCTGCTTGGTGCCGATGCGGAGGAACCCCGTCACCATCTTGCGGAAGTACATCTCTTGGCTGTCGGGGAACATGCGTTCGATGTCCTCGCTTTCGCCCGTGCCGTTGCCCTTGGTGAAGCCGGGGACCTCCCACAGGTGCGCCACCCATACGCCGCGGGAGGAGGCGACGAGGATCGCAGTGCAGCCCGCGATGGGTGGGATGCCGCCGCCGCGGGGCCAGGCCCCCAGTTCCCCGACCGCCGGGGCCAGGAAGTCCGAGTAGGCGCTGGTCGACCACCGGTCATGGTACGAGTCGTCCTCCGACGTGCGGCCGTAGCCCGGTCCTGTGGCGTCGATGTGCTCGCGCATCATGTTCCACCATTCGGCGTGTTCTTCGGCATCTTGGGACACGTCGTCGGCGACCTTCCACGTGAACATGTCAGGCTGTGGCTTCGGGTCGTCGTCTGGGCCGTCCAAGCTGCCCGTGGCTAGGTGGCAGAGCTCGCAAGTCCCGCCGCAGAGACCCCTCTTGTCGACGCAGATGATGTCCAGGTTGGGCTCCTGCGTTCGCGCCACGCTGGAACCGCACCAACCTTGATAGAACACCGCTCTCTTGCCCAACCGAATCACCAGCTCCCGTGCCTTCTCCGGGTCGGATTCCTTGTTCACATTGTAGCCCACCTCGTCTTGGTCGCCAGGCGTGAAGTGCCAGGAGAGAAGGTTTTCCCATGGAGGTCGGTTGGTGATGTTCCGAGGGTCGTGTCGTTCGTAGGGTAAGACGTGGAACGCATTCTTGTCCTCGAACCCTGCCCTGCTGAGCTCAAGCTGGACTCCGGTTATGGCGTCTTGGATGTACGGAAGAAACTCTGGCTCGATCCTGTCGCCATCCTCCGTCCGTACTTGGTTTTCCGCCGGTGCAGCGATGCCGATGTAGATCCAATCCTGATCTACAGGACTCAGTGGACCTCCTGGCGCGACATATCCCGCAAGCCCAGAACGCTGTGCCGCCCCGTCCACGTCCTGGAGGAAATTGGCGACACCTTCTTCGTAGTAGCCAGGTAGGGATCCGGGAAATTTTTCGCCGAGCTTCTCCTGGCTGGGCAAGCCGATCCCCACGGTGAATGAGGGCACTTCCCAAATGTGTCCAGTCCAGACGGCTTGCGGTGAGGCGATGATGATGCCGATGCAGCCATAGAGCGGAGCGACGCCTCCCATCTGAGGCACAAGAACGGCCTCGTCGCTTAGATTGGAAGGCCGGTTCAGCAATGTGAGTGTGCCGGTAGACACATGCGTGTTGTGAGCTGCCTCCGAGTCGAACCCCGGCTTCGTGCCATGCGCCGCGATGATCACGTTGAGCTTCTGCCACCAGTCCATCTCACCATGCTCCCAGTTCATCGGGTTGAAGATTCTCTTGGTGACGATTTCCGTGGCAGAAGCCAGGAGTTGGGCATCCTTCATGTTCTCATCCTGCCGCGCCTTGATTGTGCTGATGGCGCGTACATCTTCGATGCACTCGTCGCATTCACCACATCGAGGTACGATCTCAGGTGCTGCAGGAACAGAGCAACTCTGGCCGTGCTGGAGCTCTCCGCCCGCGTGAGTTCGTGACCCTCGAGAACGCTCGCCGTTTCCGCACCACGAGTGACTGAACAGAACCCTCTTTTCCCAGAGGAGGACAAACTCCCTAGCCCGAGGAGGGACGCGAACGGGAGCCTGTGATGTCTGGGCGGGAGGAGAAGACGAAGCCGTCTGTGTCGTTGCAGATGTCGGAGCCGCCGCCGCGGTGGTATGGGGCTGAAGGATGACTACGCCGCTCGTTTCGGCCAACTGAACTTCGGAATCCTCTTGGCTGTCATCGTCCGGGAATCCAGGCCCAAACTGCCACGACGCGAGACCTTGGTAAGGGGCAAAGGAACGCGTTCTCATCAGTTGATTGAAGTCGTTCATTTTCGTCTCCAGAGAAGTGGACTCGTTGTCCAGCACCTCGGATATCTCCTCCTCGAGGTTCGTTGCATCGGGGGGGTAAGGCACGATGGTGATTGTGCTGGCAGGGAATTCGCATTCTTCAACCAGCAGCTTGTACAACGTCGAGATGCCATCTTCGTATCTGAGCTTGCCAACGTTGAAGCGACCTCCCGGTGCGATGATCCAGACTCGCAACCAGGCGAGAGATGCCGCATGAAACGGATCACCACGTTCTCGAGTGTGTGGGAGGAGACCCGGTTGCTTTCCATCCCCATGTCCCTGTCTGAGGAATTCGATGACATCTCGCTGGAAGTAAGATTCAGGATCCTCGGGGTAGTCGTCTTCATCTTCAGTGTCGAAGGACGGAACTTGCCAGATGTGAGATTCCCAGACGCCCTTGGGGGAGGCAGCAATGACAGATGTGCAGCCACGAATCGGGCCAACGCCGCTCCCCATGGGAATTTGAATTTCCGCTCCGTCATCATCGCCAGTCGCAAACAGATGAAGGCGACTTGTTGTGTGCTCGTCGCTGTCGGTGGCGTAGTCGACCAAAGGTCCGTTCTCTCGGGCGAGCATGTATGTCTTGAACCACCACTCGGCAGACCTCTCACCCCCCTTGTAGGTCGCCGGAGAAGTAGGCTTGTTCCCCAGGATGTCCTTCACTTCTTCCATGCTTTGGCCGTCAATCTGCCTGGCCGCCAGGTTGGCCGTCTGGCAGTCTGTGCAGCGTCGGGGAGAGCATTTCATGGTACGACAAGCGCCGTCTTCTGCGGGGACCAAGGGCCACTCCTCCTCCCCTTCGGTGTGGTTCTCATCTGCATCCTGCCGACGGACAAGTCCCGTCTCGTCGTCATCTCGAGCCGTGTCACACCATGTTTCTCGAAGAAGCTCTTCAGTCTCGAACCTGATAACCAGCTCTCGGGCACGGCCGGGTCTGCCGGGGGCATACTGCCAGGACAGAAGACCTGACCACCACCTGGAATTGCCCTCAAAGTCGCCGCCCAAGTCGTCCCTTTCACCTTCATACTCCCTCCAGTCCTCTCGGACCTGAACGTCCATTTGGTACAGTTTGAGGTGGATTTTCGAGTCAGGAATGCCCTGGTCCCGGAGTTGGGTTTGAATCTGGTAGATGGACCGGGGTGTTACCATGACAGATTCCAAATCCCGATCCGCGGACGTCACAATCCAAACGCCAAAGAAGTCTGGGGATCGAGGGTCGAGATCACCTCCAGGCTGAGTATGGGTGAAGAGTGGCGGGTAAAACTCCGTGTTCGGATTCGCGCCGTGACTGCCTTCTCGGAGGAAGTTGGTGACGCGCTCCTCGAAATATGTCTCCTGTGCCCAGGGGTAGCGCGCCGGGTTATTTCCCTTGATGAAGTTGGGGACCTGCCAGATGTGGTTGGTGTAGACGCCGTGTTTCGAGGCAACAATCATCATCGTGCAGCCCCAGACGGGCCCAGAGCCTCCTCCCAGACCAGGGACATGGACACTCCCGTGAAATCGGAAAGGTTCGTCAAAGGCGATCCACTTGCTGGACGACGCGCCAGGCACCCGTTGCCAGGCATCGTCGGCGACCCAGAAATCAGTACCGTCCCCGGCACCGTAGTCAATGACGACTCGCCACATCTTCTTCCACCAGTCCGGCTCGCCGGGCTGCCAGTTGGTTGGAAGAGACAGTTCTTCTGTGAGGATGGCGTCTCCATCGCCCACGCCGCGACGTTGGACCACATTGCGGCGCTTCTCGCTACCGTCGTTGCCGTCGCTCGGGGTACCATCTTCTCGTATGCAGGCACCACCCGGGAAACTGCATAGGCCAGGCTCGCAAACCGGGGTTGGCTCTGGAGTGGATGATGAGAACGAAGTGGTCGTTGTAGTCTCGACAGTGCTGCAGAGAACCGTAGTCTCACATGCGGCCTGGTAGCACGTGGTGGTACGACTTGTGGAGTGGGCAACCCCTGAGACAGTCACAGGTGCTACGTCGCAAACCTGGGAGCAATGGGGAGCGATCGTGTAACTGACGGTACACGATGATTCCGAGGCCGACGAGGTGGAAATAGACGAAAGAGAGGCTGAAGTCGAGACGGAGGCCGAGGTAGATGCGGAAGTAGAAGTAGACGTGTCGGTGGTCGTAGTGGTTTGAGTGGTGGTGAGGTCGTCGTCCTTATCCTTCTCTGGATCTTCTGGATCAGGTTTGTTGTTGTTTCCACCGCCGCCACCGCCGCCACCACCGCCGCTGCCGCCTCCTCCTCCTCCAATTGGGAGGTTGCCGTCCGGTAGATTTCCCCCGCCGCCGCCGCCGCCTCCTCCTCCTCCAATTGGGAGCTTGCCGTCCGGTAGATTTCCCCCGCCGCCGCCGCCGCTGCCGCCTCCTCCTCCTCCAATTGGGAGGTTGCTGTCCGGTAGGTTTCCCCCGCCGCCGCCGCCGCCATCATCGTCGTCGTCGTCGTCGTCGTCATTGTCTTCTTCATCATCCTTGCTCTCTTCCTCATCGTCGTCATCCTTGCTCTCTTCCTTGTCGTCATCTTCATCCTCTTCCTTGTCGTTGGAGGCTTTGGTGGTCGAAGACGGACGTTGAGCAGCAGAAGAGGGTGAAGAAGCGGCAGACGAAACAGCCGAGCTGGGAGAACCAGGTGCACTCTGCTTAGAGGCGGTTTCCCCTTGCTCTGGCGAAGACTGGGAGGAAGTGGGTTGAGAAGAAGAGGACGTCGATGTCTGGGGAGGAAGGCTGCCGGAGGCAGCTGCAGACGCAGGTGGCGACGACTCGGAAGACTGCTGAGATGCGGGACGCGATGTCTCAGAGGGCGACCTGTCGCTCGCAGACGTTGCCGTAGTCGCTTGGGACCTAGACGAGGAGATGCTGGATGAGACGCTCTCAGTATCGGCGGCTTCCGATGAGGAGGACGGGGTCTGAGCAGTCGACTCGGTGTTAACCGTGCTGGAGGTATCGGTGTCTAGGCTCGAGTCCGATGTTGCAGGGGCCGAGCTGCCACTAGAGGGCGACGACGCAGTCACTGAGGATTTGGACGGAATTGGAGTGCTAGATGGGCTAGTCTCGGTGGCGATGGCCTCAGAAGATGAGGCGACCCGAGCAGCAGAAGAGGAGTTGACCACACTGGCGATCGTGGTATCGGTAGCTAGGCTCGAGTTTGATGTCTCAGAGGGAGAGCTGCCCGTAGCGGAGGACGATGCAGTCACTGAGAGCTCAGAAGAAGTTGGAGTGCTGGATAAGCTGCTGCTCTCAGTATCGATGACCCGCGATGAAGACGTCTCCTGGACCGTAGACTCGGAGGCTGGGATGCTGGATGAGATGCTCTCGACAACGACGGTTTCCGATGCGGATGCAGTCTCGACAGTAGACTCGGAGCTGGCCACGCTGGAGCCATCGGTACCCAGGCTCGAGGTAGTGCTTGGGCCGGTGGACGTCGAGACAATGCTTTCATGCGAATCCTGGTCATTGAGTCGGGAGGAGCTCGTCTCAATGCCTGAAGAACTCCCATCAAGGGAGGAGGAGGAGGAGCTAACTTGGATGCTCGAGGTGCCACTGGTCAGGGATGTCAGGCCAGTGGCCGCACTCGAGGTTGTTGGCTGGTCAGTCGTGCTGCCTGAACTGAGGACGGAAGTGTCCGTGCCAATGAGCGATGTGGCCGTCTTGGCTATGGACGTTTCGCTTTGAAGATGGGACGAAGCGCTGCTGGTGATACTCGAGCCAGCAGACTCAGCAAGTGAAACAGTGCTAGACACAAGGCTCGTGCTCGAGCTGCTGAGAGCAGGAGAGGAACTAGTGTAGATAGTCGACGTCAGAGTCTGTGAGGCCATGCTTCTAGTATCGACCTCGGAACTGGCTGGTTCATCGATTGTCGAGGTGGTAATGTGGCTACTCGAAGCAGGAATCTCAGTAGGCCCGACACCGCTGCCACTGCCTGTCTCTCCAGAGGAGGTAAAGAGGCTGGAACTGGCGGAAGAGGCGTGAGGGGAGCCGTCACCCTGAATGATCGAGGTGACAGTTTCGATGCCCGAGTTGAGACCCGCCTCATCACTGGATAGGATTGAGGAAGAGAGAGGGTGGGAGACGGAGGATGAGACACCCTCACTCATCGTTGCAGAAGTCGCAATGGCCGAGATAATAGTCGTCCCATCAACGGAGCTCTCGAGTGAGGAAACGTGGCTTTGAATGGCTGAAGTAGCTGTCTCAGTGCTCGAGGTGATGTCCGTCGGGTCAACCGAGGAGTCAACTGAAGAGACTTGGCTTTGAATGATCGTAACAGTCTCAACAGGGCCAGTTCGCGAAGCGTCGGAGGTGGCCGAGTCTCTCCCCGAGGAAGAGGTGTCGACTGGTCCATGTGCCTCACTAGCGTCATCATCGCTTAGGAGAGATGATGTGCCTGCAGGCTCTCCTGACGGATGTGATGTAACTGTAACAGTCACGACGACGTCGACGAGAGGAACAGTCGCAGTATCCTTTTGGTCAATCGCTGACGTGGAGATGGTGGGTGCCCCATCTTCACTGACTGGTGTAGAGCTCTGAATAATCTCAGTCGTGATGACTGTCTCCGTGACGATCAGGGTGGTGGTGGTCTGAGAAGCATCACCAGCCGTCTCGTCATCGGGAATCGGGATCTGATCATTGTGAGTAGGGACCGGGTTGGCGCTGGAAAGACCACTCTCCGACTCATCGACAACACAGGGAGCTGATTCAGACAGAGAATATGAAGGCTCTGATGTGGTGGTGTCGACCCCAGCAGTGATGACGAGGGTGCTGCTAACGGTCTTGTATTCCGTGACGGTGAGAGTGGTCGGAGACCCAGCATGACCAAGAGAAGTCGTCGGCTCAGGGTCCAAGCCAGGGTGGGTCGTGTCAACAGCAGGGAAGGTATCCGATTCGCCAGCGACCTGAACATAGGTAGTTAGCAGGCAATCACGTGATCTCGGTGAAGGGGCAACTGGTTACTTGACTACACCGGCCGGTCGATGTGTCTAGAGGAGTTGGGGTTGGGGTTGGGGAACCAACCAGAGCGGTGGAAGTCTGATAGAGAATGGAAGAAGTCTCGCTCTCTTCCAGAGTAAAGATGTTTGTGGCAAGCATCTCAGATGAGGTACTTGGGCCGAAACCAGTGCCACAGTTGCCGCAGGGGCAGATCTTAGTAACGTTGTTAACGACAACAAACTTGTCGAAATCATCACCCTTGATGCATGCCCCATTGTTATTGTCGGCTAGAAGTTCAGTTTACATAGAAAGGTTAGCTAGTGAACACACTAAAGAATCGACGAAACGAAGTCATGCTAACCTGCAGCCATGCTGATGAACGAGAGACAGCAAAGTGCTAAAAGAAGCACCAGCAACCTGGCTCTTCCAGGCCAACAGCTGAACCAGCCCATGATTGATGAATACGTGCGCGCAAATCCACCAGGAGGAAAAGGCTTTGCGATAGTTGTCAGATTCTTTACTTGTGTTGTAGAATAGTGTAGGAGGAGAACTTGAAGAGGCAATCAACAAGGGCTTGGTAGAAAGGATGGGTAACAAGTAGGAGAAGCTCCTAAGGGTGAGTGAAAGAAAGGTGAGGTTGAGAGTTGAAGAGTAGAAGAAAGAAGAGAAGAAGATAGAATAGTTAGAAAGGCAGAATAGCCTTTAAATAGCGGTAGGCAAAGCTGGAGCCTGGAGTGATGGGAGAATATTTTCTTTTCAGAGCCTTAAAACAGGCAGGGCAGCCGTAATAAGAGATTATACACATACACCTTCCTTGCTAGTAAATGTAAATAGAAACATGTCTGCCTTGATGGATATTTGGCTAAGGCAACTATCTATAGCCACTCCTGTGTCGACTTGAATGTCAAGGTTGATATAAGGAAGGAGGCAGTTTGCAATATGGTTTCATAATAGAGAGCCCTAAGGTGCATTGGTCCTTAAAAGTTGAATCACATCATCTCTAAGTAAGAAATAATTCTTAACCTCATAACTGGCTTTATTAGTACTGACTGCCTTGAGCTGTATATCACAGGAGGCAAAGCCATGACAAGCCAACCGGAAGCCCATGGACATAATGCTGCTCTAAGTCACTTACAAGGTCGGGCCATTCTCAACTCGGACTGATGGCCATGAATAACTACATGTTAGAAGGTAAGTTACATGTCTGACGAACATCTCTGGACTTTAAAAGCCTCACAGGCCCCCCTCCTACCAGGAGCCCACATCTAGGATGTTGATAGTAACGTGTATCATTGCAATCCTATAGTGTTATGCATTTAAGGTTCCCCTACAATATGCCCACAGCCAGGGGTATCATGAGCTTGATGCCTCCGGCTTTATACGCAGAACGGTTCATGTTGGTTTAAGACACCACATCTTGATGGATGGCTATTGAGACTGTTACGTCAAGAGACAGCTGTCTATCTACATTTTCGAGATGTAGGGTGGAGAATATTCAGAATGCACCCCCTTTTCCTCACGCCAACAACTTCTGCATTATATGACCACCTTATTTATCCCTAGGGTTCGGAGGCAACCTGGCAACGTTATAATGGAGAATGATAGAATCCATCTTCGTTTAATGAAGGATTAGTCAGGCATATAATAAGCTCACGCTACTATCAGAACAATCAACACGAAGAATGACACAGAGAAAGGACACATGAAGAAGAAAAGAACGAAACGCCCACCCTTCAAGTTATGAAGCCGGTTGATTCAACTCGATTGTCCTTCTTTCAAGACTGACTGACTGGCTGTCTGCCTGCAGCTAGACGTCGTGATATCGGAATACACATCATGGTAATGCCATAGGCCAACTACTCGCTGTGCAAATCAGGGTTGTTATCCTTGTTGACTTTCGGAATGAGCAACCAACTAATGGCGCAGGCGACCCAGAGGCCGATCAGCACAGGCTGCAGGACGGAAACACCTGCCCTCGAAGCAAGAACACCGGTGATCATGGGAAACAGTGTTCCACCACCCTGGGCAAAGACAAAAACGAATGCCATGGCCGTCGAGTTCAGCTCTCGCGGGACAAGTTTGGATGCGACAGACATTCCCTGGATATAACATATAACAGTTAACCATTATTGCCACCATCAACAAAGGGGATCAAGGAAAAGCAGGGCAACTACTAACCGTGGCAAAAAAAGGCCCGGAAAAGAAACCGATAAAGCTGATTGCGATCAAGGCAGCGATGATATTCGGCACACTGTCTACCAGTTAGCGACGAGACCATGTCCAACGAGAAAAAGAAAAATAAAAAAGGACACACACAGCCAGAAGACGAGTTGAAAGGCAACACAAAATACTGCGTAGATGAAGACCATCCTCCGCTCACCGTAGCGATGCGTAGGTTCGGCCAGCAACAACCGACCGAGGAAGACTCCTCCATTAAGGCCGGCCGGGACGTTCCCCATCAAAGCGAGATCCCCCCCTCGAGCCTGAACGAGGTACTCGACGACCCATCCGGCGGCAGTGAGGAGCGCGCCGAGGAAGAAGAAGTAGAAGAGGCTGATGAGCCAGACGCTCTTGAGGCACAGCGCTTTCTTCATGAGCTGCGTGGGGGTCGCCTGCCAGTCCGGTTGGCCTCCCTCGGTCGCCGCGTTGGCATCGCCGCCTCGGGCCGCATCATCACTGTCAGAGCGGTGATTACTACGCCTCCTCCAAAAGCGAGTCTTGATGGTGTCCCGGAAGGCGAAGATGGTGGCGGCGGAGTTGAAGACGCCGATGCCGAGAGGAAAGGCGTAGTAGAGGTACCAGCGCGATGGGGTATTCGCCGTGGCGACGGCGGTAGATACGAAGGGGGCGACGAGACAGCCGCCGGCGTACATGGCGTGGATGAAGGCGAGCCAGAGATGGGCGCGGACAACTCCAGAACAATACGTGTTGCCGCCTGTATCCTGGTACGCCTGGCCTACGGAGACGATCATGAAAGTGACGGCAAAGAGGGGGAAGGGGGGGTTCCAGACCCGCAGTGCGTGAGCGATGATCTGTACGACAGTGCCGACGGCCAGTAGGCCTCCGAGGTCGAGGATTTGCATCAAGTGGGTGTTGGTGAGGGCGGCAAGCAGCCAGCCCAGGAAGTTGGCAACATAGCTAGTGGACTCGGTCAGTAGTAAGTACAGTGTTTTGTATCGATGATTCGTTATTTTTCTTGTCTCTTCGGGGAAAGACCAGATCCAGAGGAAAAGGGAGCGAGACGGGCAGTCACCGACATGACGGAGACGACGGCAGTGCTGAGAGTATGGTCGCGGATGAAGTATGGCATCAGCGGACCAATGCTGCCGTCGTTGATGCCGGAGACGAAAAAGGAAAGGCCCGTTGCCGCGATCTTGAAGTGGACATCGAAGCCGATCTTGGGCGGCTCTGGAGGGCCCGGTTGCTCTGAGGACATAGAGGGCGGTTTGCTCCCATGTTTTGTGACATCACGGAGCTCATACGCCTCTGAAAGCGTGGTGCCTTGGATGGGCGGAGCTTCAACAGTGGTGGTGGTGGCCATAACTAGGACTCAGCTGTTACCGAGGTCAGAGTCTCAGAGAGGCAAGCATATCAGAAGAAGATAATACCAAGATGCCCGGTTATCTCATTTGCTGAAACAGAAAACAGACGTTCGAATTTATTATATTTGTAATGTACCAGCGTGGGAAAAGCTCAAGATATTCAAGGTCAGGTGGTCGAAGAACAAGGGTGCTTTGGTCCCGACGTTCCGAAGGCTGAAGCTAGCAGTTCGGACTCGAGATCAAGTTCATAGAGGCGGATCAGTGGCCTGAGGGGATGTTTGATGCTGAGAAGCCACCGAAAGTACATCGTACAGGGGGCGCTTCCACTGAAGAAGCCGCCATAACTAACCATAATCTGAGGTCCTGGCCACTAAAGGCACGTATCTGTCCGGAGCTACCGCTTTAAGGGAATAACTTACACACAGACCACTAACGGGCTTACGCTCCGAGCTGGCTAAACAACGGGGAAACTACGGGGAACTAACTAGCGGTCACTTTCTACCAATCAATGCTGTCCAATGATGACTCCGTGCGTAACCCCGTATTTCTCCGATTCTCCGTGTGTCCGGGCTTCAAGTCATCCGAAGCCACTTCGTAATTAACGGGCACGGTCCTGCGGAGGAGTATTTCGTCAACTTCTTTCCTTTGACAGCTTTGACAAGTTAATTATGGCCCTGGCCATTTAAGTACGGATACAAAGTCTTCATGATATAGCAAATGTTGAAGAATGAGCCCAACGTTGAGCGGCACATCACATCCCATCAGCCAGATGTCAGGGCCGCGACTCCTTGATCACCACCCGTGCCGTCTACTTTACTGCGTTGCTCGGCTCCTCAACCTCCCTAACCAGGGTATCCCTTTCAACAACCGCCATAGCAAGCATCTCTCGCGCTCTTCCTCTTTGGCCGTAATAGTGTTCGCTCTCGTGCGTCTTGTTGTCCGTCTGATTGTCCTTGTTCTGGGTGCGGGTTCTGAGCTGATGGTTGTGATGACCGTCTCAAGTTTTGGCGACAGATGGGACCTCATATTCCAGCAGTATCATGTAGGGCCTAAGAGCAGCGGATCAAGGTTAAATAACCATGCAATTATATCATATGCTACACAACAAAGACCATCATCCAATTCGGCAAGGCTGTCTGATCACAGCCATGTACCGCATTCCTGTATTTCCTCCACTGTACATTGGTGCAATATTCTGTGGCGATGCACTGATGAGATCGTCGTATGCATGTATAGATGTGTAGACGACCGGATGTGATGACGGGTATAATCTAGAAGATGATAAGTCGTAAATTCGTTAAATACCCCTTCGTACGGACCCTGAACGCTGTGAGAAACTGAGGACCAGTAACCCCTAGAACGCCTACCCACCGGACAAAGTGCCGGTAGGAGGCACCCCGCCCCTTGCAATGAGATATTACATCTAGAACAGAACCCAAGAAAGGGGGGAAAAGAGGGGAAAAAAGGGAGAAAAAAGGGAAACAAAAAGGAATAATAGATATAAGAGGCCGTCAAATAGTCGGTTAGTCCGCAGAGGGTGCAGCAGGGGTGGTGCTCTTGGCCGGACGAGGAATTAGTGCGTACCCCGGGAAGGCTTCAAGAAGGCTCGCCCCCCTTCCCCTACTTTCCCTCCGCACGAGACCCGACCTTCACCCAATCCAAGACACGCGGGTCTTGGCTAGGCGGGTTGTCCTTGTTTCCAGGCGTGTGCAGGAGGGGGTCATCCTTAGCCGTCCCGGGGTGAACCTCGATGTTGAGTCCGAGGCTACTGGGTGTGTTCCGCGCCTGGTCGACCAATGCAACGACATCGAACTCGGCTTGCTTGTTCTCTTCGCTCTGGAGAGCTTTGGCCAGGGCTTCCCGCTGCGCCTGCGTAATGCTCTGCGTCCGTCCCACCTGGCCCGACTGAGGCGGTCCCGAATGACCCCACTGATAGTTGACGGGCCGCAGCAACGCGGCTCCCGTCTGCAGCACCCAGGCCTCCGTGGCGCCCATCTCGTCGTCGCCTTGCTTGTGCTTCTTGGGCCGCCACTTCTCGGGCAGCGGCTTGGTGAGGAGGCGAACGACGGCGAGGAAGCCGCGTTTCACGGGCCTGAAGGCACGAGCCACGGCCCGGAAGAACATGAGGACGAAGCGGTCGGGGATCTGACGGATGAGCGCACCGAGGGGAATGACGAGGGCACCGAACAGCATGGACCATCCCCACTGGGCGGCGTTCAGCGGCTCGGTGTCGAAGACGGCGCCGGCGAGCCAGATGATGACCATCTGCCCGGCGAGAGTAACACACTGGACGCCGAGGAACCAGGGGTTACGGAGGACGCCCTGGTACCAGATGTTGATCTTGTTATCGACGCGGCGGCAATTGTGCTGGTTGAAGAACTGCATCCAGACGTAAATGTTAAACACCATTGTCTGGAGCTGCTTGCGCTCAAAGTCGTTTTGCGGGTGAAACAGCGCCTCGCCCGCGTAATGGAAGGTAAAGATAACGGCCAATTGGTATATGGCGACGAGCAAGACCATCTTCCACATGGTGATGGTGACGATAGGAGCCGTGCGGGGTTCCGGTTTGCGCTTCAAGAAATCGCGCGACGGATAATCGGTAGCCAGACCGAGAGAGGCGAAGATATCCATGATGAGGTTGATCCAGAGAAGCTGAACAATGTTGAAGATGACGTTGCCTGCGAGCTCAGAGACGACAGTAAGGGTACCGGCTGAGATGTTGATGGTGAATTGGAACTAAGGAAGACAAGAAAAAGTCAGTCAAGGCCATTCCATACATTGGAGATTGAGTGACGGATCATGTCTTCACATACCTGAAGGAACTTCTTTGTCGCGTCGTTGACAGTTCTACCCCAGAGGAGAGACTTCACGATGGACTCGAAATTGTCATCCAAAAGGATGATCGAAGCTGCCTCTTTCGCCACCTCGGTGCCCTGAATACCCATGGCGAATCCGACGTCGGCAGCTTTCAGGGCCAGCGCGTCATTTGTGCCGTCACCGGTGACAGCGACAGTCTCGCCCATTCTCTTGAGGTGACTGACTAGCAAGAGCTTGTCCTCCGGGCTCGACCGTGCCAACACCTGGAGGCGGGGGATAACCAGGTCGAGCTGGTTGGACGTGAGTCTCCTAAAGATAGGACCGTCCATGGCCAAGCCGCCGGGCGTATAGATACCGCACTCGGCGGCGATGGCCTTGGCGGTCAGGAAGTTGTCTCCCGTCACCATGCGCACGAAGACGCCAGCATCCTGACAGGTCCGGACCGACTGGATCACCTCGGGCCGCAGGGGATCGCGAATACCAAAAATGCCGATGAAAGTCAACTTGTCGAAATGCTTGTCGAATGGGATCGACTCGGGGTCATTCGGATCCTCGAAAGCCTCCGTCCGAGCGAAGTCTCTGTAGGCGATAACGACGGGACGGAGCATATTGGTCGCATACTCCTTGATAGAAGCGTTGATCTCCTCGCGGATGGATTCGGTGATGGGTTGCGTCGCCATGCCCGACTTGGGGTCGGCGAGGATATCGGTGCATTTGGAAACGATCACCTCAGCGGCTCCCTTGGCCAACATGCGGCACTCGGTGGGACTGACTCTGCGCATGACGGCCATCCACTTCCGGCTGGCGTCGAACGGGGACAAATTCTCGATGTTGCCGTTTTCTCTTTCCTCGTTCAGGTGAGCCATACTCAGGTACTCGCGGCCGAACTTGAGTAGAGCGGTCTCCGTGCTGGTTCCCACGAAGCCAGGGTTGGCCGGGTCATCGCTCTCGAAGGCGGTCGAGTTGAGAGCGATGCTGTTCTTTAGCAAGTCCTTGACATCTTCGTCGAGAGAAGCTACGAAGTCGGGGATGCTCGCCTCTTGCTGGCCGGACGCCACGTCGTTGGCGGTATTTTCCGTGTCGCTCCCGGCCGACGCCGACGCGGCAGAGCTGATGGTAGGGCCACAGTCACCAAAGGGGACCGTGCCGAGCCTGCCGACGACGACAGTCATTTCATTCTGGGTAAGGGTGCCCGTTTTATCGGAACAGATGCACGTAGCGTTGCCCATGATCTCGCAGGAGCGGATGAGACGCACGAGGTTGTTGTCACGCAACATCCTCTTGGTGGCGAAGGCGAGAGCTAGGGTGACGGCGAGGGACAAGCCTTCGGGGACGGTAACGATGACAACAGTGATGGCAAGGATAAGCACCTCGAAGAAAGCTTCTGCCCTCGCAGCCGGGTTGGGATCCATATCCCTAAGCCGAGTGAGGTAGCGGACGAACATTACGAAGAAAAAGATGAAGCCGGCAATGGCGCCGAAGGTGATGAGCTGTTTGGCGAGAAGACCCAGCTTTTGTTGCAGGGGCGTCTCCTCGACGTCCTCACGGATGGACATTAGGGTCCGTCCGAAGGAAGAATGCTCGCCGACAGAGAGAACGAGGTAAGTGCCGATGCCGCCGCACACCGTAGTGCCGCTGACGATGAAGGGGTCGGGCGCGTGCGCCCTGGTGGCGAGGGTGTTCCAGTCGCCGACTATGCTCTTATGGACCAGCTCGGACTCGCCCGAGACGGACGATTCGTCCACTTGGACACCAGCAGCAGAAATGAGGACGCCGTCCACCGCAACGACATCGCCCGTCTCGACGTGCATCACGTCACCAACGAGGACTTCGTGAACAGGGACATTCCGGGTCTTTCCCGAGCGTGTGACCTTGACATCGCGCTGCTCTTTCCGCTCGTTGAGTTTGGCAAATTTACGATCTTTGTGCCAGTCGGTGGCGGCACTGGCAAAGACGATGACAATAATGGCGACGACGACAGTGAGACCATCAACCCATTGTATCCTATTAGCGTCGTCCGTAGCTTCGACGGATTCGTAGATGCCGAGGGCGAGGGAGACGCTCGCCGAGACGGTCAGCAGGAAGATGAGCTTGTCGTTGAAAGCAAGCCAGGCGAGGGCGAGGAAGGATTTTGGCTTCCGCTTGGGTAGGCGGTTGAGACCGAAGATGCGCTTGCGGTCGGCGAAGGACTGGTCATGGTGGCCGACGATATCGAGGTTATTGAGGTCGAGATCGAGATGGAAGGAGGCCGAGTCGCTGTCGGGGACGAGGACGGGGGTGATTTCGGGTTCGCGCTTCTCGCGAGCGGCGGCAAGGGCCTCATCGAAGGTGATGGTGCCATCCAGCCCAGACTCATCGACACCTAGACCGGCCTTGGGATCGGTGCGGAGACCGGCGGCGAGGCCCTCGATGCCGCCAAAGGCTCGTAGAGCGGAGAGAGAACGGGCGAGGATGAGCTCGTGTAGCTGGGCTGGCGTGAAGGCAAACTTGTTGTTCTTGGGACGCTCGGCAGCAGGCTGCTGGTCAAGGACCTTGACGTCGAAATGGTCCTCGGCGAGGATCTTGGGAGGCGGCTTCCCATCAATGGAGATGGAATCCGAGCCATGACCATCCGTGCCCGGTGGGTGGCTCGGTGCCGAGGCCTTGATCTCGTCGCTCATCGCTGCCCACTGAGCTGAGTGCGAGAGACACAAGACTCTAGGATGGACGCGCGAGAGGAGGCGTTGGTGTTAGGAGGGTGGTGGAAAAAGAACCAATGGCCAGAAGAACGGGAAACAGAGGTCGAGCCATGCACTCGGGGGATGTGGACGGACGAGCAAAAGGGAGAAGGTCAAGGAAGGACGAAAAAAGAAAAAGAAAAAGAAAAAAGACAGGGTTGGACCGTGGAAGGCCCGTATGGGTCAAGGCTGGTCATTGGGACAGGACATGGGGGAGAAGGAAGAAGGAAGAAGGCGAAAAGGCGACGACGAAGTGCCAAGACAGGCGAATAACAGGGCGTGGGGTGCCGCCTTAATGTGGATGTCTCAATTGTCTGGGAAATAGCGGGGTGGGTCTCTATCCTCACCGGCCGGCTCCACACTAAACTGGCGGCTGACGTTGCCTTTTAGTGTACTTAATATTTGCTGCTTTGCCCCTTCTTTGTTTCTGGCGGATAGGGCTGTCCAGTGTCACAACTTGGAGAAAGGTACCTGTGTAACAGTCTAATGAATACTCGAGAAGCGAAGCCAATAAAGGAGGCAATGCGCGATCAGAGCAATACGAGACATGTTAATGGCCAAATACGACTAGGTATATAATAGAACGGACTAGGTAGGATTTTGCGAACGTCTTTATTCGACATTACAACGTATAATGCTTTGCAAGACAGGCTGGGCGGCTACCTTGGGGAACATAAAGGTACCTTAGGTACTTATGAGCAGAGCCTCACAGTCGGCCTCGACTTAGCGGCATAGGTACGCTAGGACAAATTAGGTATGTCTGTCCTTCTAGCTGTCGCCCTGGTCGGGCTAGCCACGTCACCGTGGTCTGGTCGAGGATCAAGCGTGTGTATCATGGTCATAAGTACTTTCAAGTATCCTTCGTTCGGTATATACCTCATAGTGTCATCTTTGAGGGATAGAGACACATCTGGAGACTTCTTCCTGTCACTCAATCACCCGAAGAGCCAAGCAGTAAAATGTAGGTATCACATATACGAAATACTTTGCGCTGCCGCAACGTGAGTCCCAGTGGGAATTGTAATTGGATCGGCAACCTTCATTTTATTCGTCCGAATAATTGCCTACTTTTGATTCCCCAAAATAAGAAACATCTTTTGTCTTGGTCCGATCAAACTCCAACGCAGACACCTGGCCTCCAGGAATTCCTCTTGTTAGAGAAACAGAACACATCATCAGGCATTGCATCTGCAGTGGCATTGCTCTAGGTGTACAGAGCAGGTCCCGCTTGAATGGGCCGGCGCTATTATGCGGTCAGCAATCCAGATTATCACCATCCTCAAGACCCTCCACCTGAGGTTATACCTCCCAGTCAATATCGCTTCGTTCCCGGCTTTCTTGATGTCTGGCTCCTTGTCTCGCCCCAAGCTAGTAAATAGCAAAGAGGTCATTTCGGAAACAATGTTCGGGCCTCAGAAAAAGGACGGGCCTCGTCTGATGAATCCCAAGCCGGCCTTTCTTGCTCTCCGTACTCCGATCTTCCTTTGTCCGCCCCGCCGGGAATTGAGGCTGTGTTCCCCGCCCCCAGACTAAGGCACGAAGTACAGACAAATACTTTATCGTGCCCTCCATTTCCATGTCCTAGGAATGAGCAGCGCAACCCTCTCTCGTACGAGAGTCTCAATCCAACAAGGGTCCTGCATACTGGATGCCGGGAATGTGCTTCTGGGCACACCGCCACGCTCCATTCAAGACATCCAGAACTATCCTGATTGCAGAACGAAGAAAGCTTGATATCTTCTCCTCCCCACTTCCTCCCACTTCCTCCCGCTTCCAGTCTGTGCTGCGAGTAAACCGAAAGTTCCACGTTTCCACGTCCCAGCCTCCGGTCTGTCGTGATTCGTCAATCCGCTGAATTTCGGGTCAGATGACCGATCGACGCCGGATGGGGCCTCAGCGGATGTCGGGTCCGACGGTTCGACATCACGCACCTCATCTCGCTGCTGCAAAGCATGGCCTATGGCAATCTGTGAACATTGTCATTGATGAAGACATGTTCGTACTTCGTAGTGATGCTTCGGGATGCCACTTGGGAAGAGGTCTCCCAAAATGAAGCCGAAGACGTTAACGAACCCTGTATCTCACGACAGTGTGCGCCTCTTCAATTTTGTGATGATCACTTCATGCATGCCTAACTGATCCCGGTATACATGTACGTGCGTCGCTTAGCAGGACTGCTTACTACTTGATGCCTACCGCCTTTCTGCTATTCCCTCACCGCCAAGGACGAAGCCGAATGTCGCGGGAATGCCGCAACACTTGCAGAAAAAGAAGAAATTCTCGTGGCGGGTTCTACCCCTCATTTCTTTGACCCCTGCGAGTTTCAATTATCGAACACCTCCAGCCCCTCCGTTAATGCCAAGCTAGTTTGAACCATTGAGTGGATTGAGCGAAACTGGGCGACGTTTTTCGACCCATTTCACCCACTGATAACTCGTCTCCCCAGCTGGAAGAACTCAGCATCTTCAATGCCGACAGGCGTACTCCGCTACTTTCGTATCGACTGTGGAGCTGTTCGATTGCGTCAATCTTAGCTTCGGCGGTCCGCCATTTATCTCGCCTCTTGGTCAGACAATAGAGAACAGCACTCCGTCGAAGTCCCTGCCAGCGCATACGCCATGTGACAGACGCAAATGAATGTCGAGGTCCTTCGATATGTGTTGACATCAGTATTTACGGCTGTCTGTGGCTTGCAAACGTTTTTGCATTTGAAAAGGGGGGGGGGGGAGTCAGTGACAAGAGGCAATCCAGAATGCGCGCCCTTGCAGCTTGTTGCCCGACTCGATACGCACGATCTTGCACAGCCGCACAGGGATTCTAAGGCAGGAATCCTTCCATAGACTTCAATCGTGGAAGAGGCGGGGCATAAGAACCCTCCCAGCCGAGACCCGTTGAAGGATCCAAGCGACCATCGACTTGGTCAATTTCGCACGTCCCAGGTGGGATCAAATGGCGCATCTGGCAACCTCGGATTGGCAGGACGGGTTGATACATCAACCGGACGAACCGACTCAGGCTGGTGACATTGTAGATACTAGCTGGTCCTCTCCAGATCCTTACCTGGTATCGCCAGGGAGACCACAGCTTGAAAGAAATTACGATCAAGTTGCGATTCATCCGCGTGGAATGGCTTCATCGGTACAAGGACACGATAACTACGAAGTATTCCGTACGTACTATGGGGAAATGTTCTCTTTACCTTAGGTACCTTAGGTGGTGTGCGGTTGAGATCACATGACGTTTTCTTTATCCACTCCTTGGACTTTTGGACCCGTTGGAGACAAGGACGGCTCACGGTGTACGATGTACTGCGTACGTTACTGTTGAACGACCGGCAGCATGCAATTTTCCCTTGAGCCATGTAATACGGAGCGTTCTTGAAAATAATCCGAAAATACAGTTAGTATTCGTACAGATTTCACCGGACTTGCTTCTGGAGATGCATTGTCTTGGGACTGGCTCCAGGCGTTCCAGGAACGAACCCCAGGCTCACACGTCATAAGTCACGTGATCTTAAACTCGACCGTGGGACGCACATACCGCCTACTAAGTACGGTTTAGCGCCACTTTTTCCAAGTTCGATAATTTTTATCCGTACCTCGCGACATCAAAACCTACCTTAATGTTTCTCCTCCATGAGCACCAGACGCGTAATTCCTGAATTACCCGTCATCCACCGAACGCTTTTCTGAGGCCGCTTCAAATGAACAGCTATCGACCACAATACACCAGTCGCAGAGGCGGCTGGCGTGATCGCGAGAGTCGCGATGGCCGAAACGACAACGGTGGTGCCTACCGCGGCTACCAAAATGTCCCGCCGCCGCCTTCGTTCGCCCCCCCTCCTCCACCACCTGGTACTGATAGTTGGCGTCATGGCTCCTATGACCGCCGTGAGTCTCGAATGCGATCTCCACCACGGTATAACGATAGTGCGCGCCGTGGCCCTCAGGACTTCCGCGAGCCCCGACCGCCGCAAGGCGACTTTTCGTTTCGCATGGAGAAACCCGCCGGTGTAGGCGAGACGGGCGCTGGAGACTCGTACCGTCCTGGACAAGATCAGGGCAGGCGACACGGTATCAGCCGTGGCCGCCACCCGGGTGCGAGGCGTGGACGCGGTGGCTATTTCCGAATTATCCCTGCCGAACGAGAGTTGTTAAGCAGTCGGGATCTTCGCGTGCGAGAAGACCTTTGTGCCTCTGGTGAAAACGGCGTGACATACCGCGACCCCGAGGACCTTTCCGATGACGAGGAAGCCGACATGGAAATCTCGGACCAGTCGGGAGACGAGGCGGGCCAGCCTTCTGCGAAGCGCGCCCGGAGCGCTGCCGACCAGGGCGCGTCGGGCGACAGTGTGCCCAAGTGGTCCAACCCCGACGCGGAAACGGCGCTGCCACCGCCCGAAGAGGGGCCCCGGAAAAAGAAGAACGTGGTGCAGCTGATCCGAAAAGCGCGCATTGAGGACAACTCGGCCGCGAAGCTTGCCGCCACCACGGAGGCGGAGGATTTCATTTCGTTCGATATGGACGGCGATGATGACGCTGCGGGTGCCATCGAAGGCGGTGGTGGTTCCGGACCGACGCCTGGCCCTGCACCACCTGCAGGCAACCGTGGAAGGAACAGTGCCAACATTTCTCGGGATGCTCCTGCCGCACCTCCAACTACGAACTTGCTCCAAGACCTGCGCAACAACATTCGCGCCTCTGACCCTCTAGGTTCTCGCAAGCGCACCATCGATGACGAAATCAAACCTCCTGCCTACGGCCCATTGAAGAAAATGAGCAAAATGCCTGTGAAAGGTCACATTGTTTCGGAGTGGTTGCCCATTCCCGACGAGGATTCTTGCCCTTGGATAGTTGCTGACCATTCTGCCGATTCGGAGATGAGTGTCTGGTGAGTTTTGAGACGCACCTTTTCTGCCTTGTCTCTTCTTTTCCTCGTTCTCTTGCTGTTTTTTTTTCTTTCTCTTTTTCTTTTTCCCATTCCCGCTTTCCTTCGACCCCCTCTGACTCGTGGAACGCGTCAGGCTGCACAAGGAGATCGTCGATTTCTATGACTACGTCAGACCTCGTGTCTTTGAACAGCGCATGCGGAGTGAGCTTGTGGAACGGATACGGGCGGCGCTCCGTAATAACGTTAAGTACAACGGCTGTCAAGTGTTTCCCTTCGGTTCGTTCATGTCGGGTCTTTACCTTCCCAACGCCGACATGGACATCGTGGTCTGCTCCAAGAACTGGCTCCAGCGCCGGCCAACTGCGTTTCCCACTCCATCGTCTCTCCACAGGTTCCGTAGCTTCCTCACTTCGAACAAATTGGCCGATGGCTCGTCGACGGAGGTTATTGGCCGCGCACGTGTACCCTTGGTCAAGTATATCGATACAGTTACCGGTCTGCGTGTGGACATGTCCTTCGATCGCATGGATGGACCTTCGGCCGTCAAGACGTTCCTAAAGTGGAAAGAACAATATCCCGCCTTGCCCATTTTGGTGACGATTATCAAGCACTTTCTTATGATGCGTGGCTTGCATGAGCCGGTAAATGGTGGCATTGGCAGCTTCTCCGTCAGCTGCTTGGTTATGAGCATGTTGCAACTGATGCCGCAGGTGCAGAGCCGCAGCCTCGTCCCGGAACACCACCTCGGGGAGATGCTCATGGAGTTTTTCGATCTGTACGGCAACCGATTTGATTACAAGAATGCGGCGATTCGCATTAATCCACCCGGCTACGTTCGTAAGGTGAGTCGTCTCTTCGGATTTCATATTCACATCCACCCATCCCGTCCTCTGCATGAGTGAGCACCGAGAGTATCAAGGTTGCCATCCCTTACTAACACTCGTCTCCGCCCAAAAGTCGTCCAACAAGCACAACCTCACGTACAAGAACACGGACCGACTGTCCATTATCGATCCAAATAATTCGTCCAACGACGTCGCCGGCGGGTCCAGCAACATCGAGGCGGTCGTGTACGAGTTCCGTCTCGCCCATGCCATGATCAAAGAGCGGATGGCCGACATAGCCCAGGGCAGGGTGAAGAACAGCAAGGCGAGCATCTTGGAGTCGATTCTCGCCGGAAACTACCGGTCTTTCCGGCTTCAGAGGGCACATCTACGCCGCCTGCACGAGAAATACATTGGACCTTGCGAGGATTGAGAGCAGCAGTTCCCTCGGGACGACTCCGTACAATTACGACGTGACCGGCGCGGCATATTGGCCAATTCGGCATCCCGGCACACGAACACGAACATAGAACATCTACGCATGATGAACGAAGAGAGAAGCGGCCAACGGATCAGAGGTTCATGAGACAATTCGGAGTTTTCGGATTTGTTTTGACGTTTACTGCCCATCTTGAGGCCGACACGAATTGGCATGTTTAGGGGAACGGCAGGCTTAGACATGTGGAACGGCGTCGTTGGGGGAGGCATGCAGCCTAGGAGGTTGTTTTTTATTTTTTATTTTTTTTGTCCAAGCGTGGATTCGGATATGATACCCGGGGGAGGATTCTCTTTCTGATGATTTCCTGTCCTGTCCCTTACTGCCTATCCGGTGTTTACTTTGCCGTCTCCCTTTTTTTTGCTGTTGTTTTCCCCCCCTTCTCACCCCGCTGCTTTGACTGACGGAAGAGGCAGTGGTTTGTCATATATTATTACTGACATGCAAACTCGCTGCTGTCGCAAACACTACGGGCTCGCTCTACGGGGAGGGAGTCGTGTGTGTTCCATTTCCCGCTCTGCAGCTTCCTGCCTTGTGTTTAGGTGGAATGGAGACTGGTGCATGTGGCTTTACCGAGTGGGCTACGAAACGGAGATTACATGATATGATGCAGATTCCGACCACCGCAATGAGATGCAAAAAACGAGCGCGACCTTTGGTTGTTTTTGTTGACGATACCGAACCGATGCGAGCTGACTTTATATTCTCTTGACTCCGGGGATTGACTCGGGTCGGTGCTTTCTCGGCACTGAAATTTTTCTCACTGCGGATTCGTGCTTGGTGCATGGTCGTGGAGAGGAATGGAAAGGTCGCGAGGTGAGCAGGCATTGACAACCAGGCGCCATGAGTTTACAGAGTGGTTTTAGGGCCTTACCTGATGTGATCTACCCATTCAACCCCAACCCGGAGCTATGGGCTATGGGGTTTATTATTAGCAGTCCGGTGCGTCGTCACAAGCCATTGCAAGTAGAAGAGGGAGGCACCTGGTTGGTTGGTTGGTGCGCAAGTGTGCCCTAGTTGGCCTTAGTAATCCGTATATGGGGCACCCACCCTACCTACGTTGTACCCTAGTCGGTACGTACTTATGTGTCAGTCCCCGCACAGAAACTTCTCCGAGATCCGAATCCCATCACAACCAACGACAAACCGCGTCACCAGGACCAGTGTCCAGTTTGCTTCCTTTTCTGGCTGTGCCGCAGTCAAACCGCCTAATCATTCATCTTATTTTTCTGCCGTGGTCGTTTGCCCGCCACTCTCCCCAGGGTGGTATCGGTCGTCCTTTGACGTTGGGAAGGCCGTTTGGGCGACACCCTTTGGCGGTCGATTTTCGAGAACCAGTTGGCAGTCAGTGCAGTCACCAACAAGTGTGAAGGGACTGTGTCAGGCATTCAAGCATTCCGCCGGCCTGTCTACCCATCTTGGCGCACTCACGCGTCACAGTCCGTCCAGGAAAGTTCCCGAAGCGGAGCCCCCCACGACGATCGGGAGCTACGCGGGGAGGGAAGCGAAAACAAAGGCCGAGTCGCCAGCATTCTTCCCCCTTTGTGTCGTTTTGCTGTCTGCCCTTGTCTTGGACAGTTGTTATTCGTTATTGACAAAGCCGAGCCTCGACGTCGGGTGCGGGAGAATAGCACCCGAGCCATACAACGTGTTCCTCGAGAATTCGACTCCATCAGAGAGGCCAGACGATCTCTCCCTATTCTATTTCTCTTTGTCTTTTCTTACCCTTCTCGAAGTTACGGAGTAATACATCTAGATGTACAACACTATTCCTCAATCACACCACGCACACCCACCCTTCATCAACCCTGGACCCAACGCATCGGCCATGCCATTCCGTGACTGGTTGTGGCCGGTGATGTTTCGGCCAAACTCCCGAGTCAGCTTCCCACCCGCCCCTTCATCGGAGAAGAATGGCGCGAGGGTGTGTGACGTAAGAGAGCGAGGATGAACCCGGGGTGCTTGTGATGGATGGATTGATTGATTGCGCGAAGCCTACCTCGGTCAGTCAGATTGGGTGTTGGTTGGAGAGAGAGAAGGGGAACAGAGAGAGAGATATGGTCAAGGCGAAGAGAGCCTCCCTCGTGAGTTGGCGCGAAAAGGCAGTGTCGACGCTGTCGAGTACCTTCTCGAACGCAGGACGACGAGATGAGTGTCAAATCGCTCGAGATGTGTCGGATACACCATTTCGGACATCAACGTCCATCGTCATCTGCCGAACCTTACAGACCTCCCCATGGGGCATGCTTGGACTGGCGCATCCACTCAATGGATGGTGGGAAACTTTACCGGCCTACCGGCGTCAACTGGGAGTACCACCAACACATCGTCTCCGTCCTCTAGCGCCCCGCTAGATCACGGGTTTCACCTGTATCCAACGACCTGGGAGACACCGCAGCTAACTAAGGAAACTTTCTCGACGGGTCAAGCGTACGCCTCCGCGCCATCTCGCCAGACCCCGCGCCCTCGGTCTCCTTGGTCGATCCCCCGAAGCTTTCCACCAAACAAGGGTTTACGCAGCCAGGGTCTTTTCACACCCCACGCTCTCGACCATCCCCTCAACTATCTCGGGGGTATGGACGAACACAATGATAGGATCAATCCTTGTCCCGGTCAATTCATCGAACGCCGCCTCCTGGCGTCTGCCGGGAGTACATACGGGCGCCACATCGCTACCTTGGCCTCTGAACAAGCTCATGCCTCGCTGGAAGTGCGATACTTCGTAGTGTTACCTGTATATCCATGACCAACCACACCCAACCCAAGCTAATGGCTGTTGTAGCGCGTACGGTGCCTACATATGGCCGTGCCCCCCCCCCCCCCCGCGTTTCTCACCCCGTCGCTCTGCGCTTTCTCTCATTCTCACACATAGGACAGCGTGAAATCGCTTACAGGAGCACGATCTCCCCACCCGTCGTTGATCTACAGTGTAAGCTAGGCTTCTGCCGACCATGTGGCAAGCCAGCAACGTCTATGGCATTTGTGCCTTCGCCGCCCTCGGTATGTCCGACAGTCTACTCACCGCGTGCGCATTCCTGCCCGTCCATCTCCAGTGGCTAACACAATGGGTTCGGTTCCTCAAAGGCGGCGCCCTCTTCGGTTTCGACATCTCGTCCATGTCCGGCGTGCTAGGGACCGAAGCCTACCGACGCTACTTCGATCATCCGCTCGGTTACCGGCAAGGAGGCATCACGGCGTCCATGCCCATCGGGTCCTTCTTCGGCGCCCTGGCCTCGTCCTTCATCGCCGACCGCTTCTCGCGTAAACGCGCCATCCAGCTCTCGTGCATCATCTGGGTCATCGGCGCCACCTTCCAGGCCGCCGCCCAGAACGTCGCCATGCTCTGCGTCGGCCGGTGGATCGCCGGCTTTTGCGTCGGTATCTGCTCGGCCATCGTCCCCGTCTACCAGGCCGAGATCGCCCCCAAGGAGATCCGCGGTCGCGTCGTGTCGCTGCAACAGTGGGCCATCACCTGGGGCATCCTGATCCAGTTCTTCATCCAGTACGCCGCCGCCGAGGGGATCGGTGGGGGGCCGACCGACCCGAACCAGCCCACCGCCGCCTTCCGCATCCCCTGGGGTGTCCAGATGGTGCCCGGTGTCATCCTCGGCCTCGGCCTATTCTTCTGCCCCTACAGCCCGCGATGGCTTGCGTCCAAGGACCGGTGGGAGGAGGCCATGCAGGTCCTGGTTCACGTCCACGGAAAGGGAAACTCGAATGATCCCAGGGTCCTTGCGCAGTACCAAGAGATTGAGGAGACGCTCAAGCTGGAGCGTGAGCAGGCGCAGACCAGCTTCAAAACCTTGACCGAGCGCCGCATTCTCAAGCGGGTTATCATTGGGTGCGGTCTGCAGTTGTGGTCTCAACTCAGCGGCATGAACATTATGATGTGTACGTGAATTGTCGCCTGCTGTTTTCTTTCCCCGTTCCTCCCCTCCGAGAACCTCCCATTAACCGAACTGCCCAGACTACATCGTCTACATCATGCAAGGCGCCGGCCTCGGCTCCCCCCTCCTGACAGCGTCGGTGCAGTACATCATCAACGTGGTCATGACGCTGCCGGCCATCATCTTCCTGGACAAGTGGGGGCGCCGAAAGCCCATCCTGGCTGGCTTCTTCGGCATGATGATCTGGCTCTTTGTCAGCGGTGGCCTGCAGCAGGCCTACGGGGAGCCCAACACAGATGAGACGCGTACGCCCGAGAACCAGGACGTGACTTGGATCGTCCGCGGTCAGCAGTCCGTCTCCATCGGCGTCGTGGCCGCCTCGTACCTCTTCGTCGCCACGTTCGCCACCACCATCGGCCCGACGTCCTGGGCCTACCCGGCTGAGATCTACCCGTCCAGGGTCCGCGCCAAAGCCGTGTCGCTGTCTACCTCGACCAACTGGCTTGCCAACACGGCGCTGGCCTTTGCCGTGCCGCCTCTGCTGGAGGCCATCAACTACAACATGTACTACATATTCGCCGCATTTAATGGTCTAGCTTTTATCCACATGTTCCTCATGGCCCCTGAAACGAAGGTGAGTAGTTTTCTTTCTTTCTTTCTTCTTTCTTCCTTTCCCCCCCTTCCCCCCCCCCCTTCATCCTGTCGAATCGATATGTCGTTGGTTATAGTCAAGCCATGCTGACGAAGCCCTCTGTCTCTTCACAGGGTTTCACACTCGAGGAAATGGACGACGTTTTCGACTCTGGCGTTCCTGCTTGGCGTACTCACGTCAAGCGGTCCCGTCTCGATGATTTGGAGAGGGAGATCGAGCAGGGTAAAACCCGAATTGAGGGGCCCGTTGGCGATCAGCCGGGCGGTGTTGTGGGGGCCAACAAAGCCCCTGAAGCTAAAGCCGTTACGGTGGAGAACGCCTGACGTTGATTTTGATATTTGCGGCTTGTTCAGATACGAACCATGAAGCGAAATGCCCAGGAACAGTATGTGGCACCGGCCAATGGTCATGCCGGTGCGTGTTTGGACAAGTTTGGGAAGCCGGGGAATACAGTGCCGCCCATGTCGAAGAAGTAACACGATTCGAACATTCATTAATTATAGCCCTGCTGCCCGACTGTCCCTACATAAACGTCGGTGTCGATTTCCTCAGGCCCCCGGGGGTCCAGCTCGACGTGTAAGTCAAACGGTTCTGCAGAATCGAAAGTGAGATGACCATGCAACTAAAGCATTAGGGCTGCAGCCTGCTGATCTTTACTTGTGCTAATCACGCATGAGAACAGTGCAGCTTAAATGTCGCTACCACTAGTGGTGGCGGCATTGGGCCTTAGGTCCCTCGGTGGAACGGCACGGGACGGACAGACGGTAAGGCGTGCCCCTATTTATGAAAGTTCCCGATATTTTGCCGTCCCGGGACGGGATATTGATAAGCGGGTCGTTCCTTTCAAGATTTTCCACATCTTTTGAGATGATTGATCCCAATTTCGCCATGTTTGGCATGATTTCGACGGGAATATGCCGACGCTCCGTTCTCGGATGCATCTTCATATAATCGTCTCTCCGCCCTTTACCGACTCCGTGGAAGTTTTGCGCATTCTGCCGCCTCGCCGCTCAACAGCTCTCGAGAGGCGTATGGATAAAGCCGAGTGATGATATAAAGGCCGCTTCGCTTACACGGGCGGTGATTCAGTGCGTCGAGCCATTGTGCTTCTCAGACCGAATCGACCCCCTGAATCCCCTCCCCAAGGTCTAACGCCACTTCAACGACCAGTCCAATGGTGTCGCGCAGTTTACTTCTCTCCGTGGTCTACGCCTACGCCTACGCCTACGCCTCCGTGGCAACGGCCGCGACGACGTTTGACGTCCGCGAAGCCACCATCGACAGCATCCACAATGCCCTCTTCACTGGTCTGACCACCTGCCGCGATGTCGTCTCCTCCTACATCGCGCGGATCGAAGCCCTCAACCCTTCCCTCCACGCTGTCATTAACCTGAACCCCGACGCTCTCGCCATTGCCGATGAAATGGACAATCAGATGGCCTTGGCTAACGCCACGGGGCCCCTATTCTGCATCCCCATCCTGCTCAAGGACAATTTCGACGCCGTCGGCATGCCTACCACCAGCGGCGCACGTCCTCTCGCCGACCTACATCCCCTCGTCGACGCGCCGACTGTCACGGCGTTGAAAAGAGCCGGAGGCCTTATTCTGGGAAAGGCCAACATGCACGAGATGGCGCTCGAGGGCCTCTCGGTATCCTCCCTCGGAGGCCAAATCGTCAACCCGTACGACCTGACGCGCACGCCCGGCGGCAGCAGCGGCGGCACGGGCGTCGCCATCGCCGCCAATCTGGCCGTCTTTGGCACAGGGAGCGACACGGTCAACAGCCTGCGCAGCCCCGCCAGCGCGAACAACCTCTTCAGCTTCCGGCCCACGAGAGGCCTCATATCCCGCGCCGGCGTCATCCCCAACAGCTACTCGCACGACACCCTGGGCGCCATGGCACGCTCCCTGAAGGACCTGGCCGCCGCGTTGACCGTCATGGCGAGCGTTGGTTACGACCCGGCCGACAACACCACGGCCTTTATTCCGCCCGATGTCCTCGGCAGGGACTACCGGTCGGCGCTGTACGGCGGCAGCCTCAAGGGAAAACGCCTGGGTCTCGTCCAGGGTCTACACAATTACGAAGCCTCGAACGAGACGACGCCCGTCAACGAGGCCATGGCGCACATGGTCTCCCTGCTCGAGAAGGCGGGGGCGCACGTCGTCAACGTCACGTCCCCCGTGTACAGCGCGACGGCGATCATTTCGCAGATGGACCTCCAGCAGCTGGAGTACCGCGAGCTGCTGGACGAGTACCTCTCCCGCGACGACCTGGCGGGGGACTTCCCGCGCAGCTTCTACGAGTTTTACGGGCGCGACGACTTCCTCGTGATCCCGGCGCAGTACGGGTACATGGCGACGGCGTGGACGGGGTCGACGTCCAACGCGACGTATTTCGAGCGGCAGCGGCGCGTGCAGAACCTGACCATGACGCTGCATGCGACGTTCCGCGAGCGGGGGCTCGACGCGCTCATCTACCCGCAGCAGAAGAACCTGGTGGTGCCGATCGGGGCGCCGTCGCAGGCGGGGCGGAACGGGATCCTCGCGGCCCTGACGGGCGTGCCGGTCGTGATGGTCCCGGCGGGGTTCTCCCCCCCTACCGAGACGGCGCCGCTCGGCGTCCCGATCGGGATGGAGATTATGGGTCTGCCGTGGACGGAGGACAAGTTGTTGAATATTGCGCAGCATTTGAGTGAGATTGCGCAGTTGAGACGCATGCCGCCTTTTGCGAATGCGAGTGTGGAGGTGACCGGCCCGTATGGCTCTGTGCCGACTATTACGCTCGACACGGGGAATATATCGCCCAAGTATCCTCTTGGGGAGCTTGGAAGGAGAAGGTGTTCGAGCATACAAGCCAGATAATCCTTGGAGTTTGTCGGGCACTCAGGGGTCTCGGGGGTCTCAGGGGTCTCAGGGGTATACAGGGGTGAATAGCGGGTAACCAGGGGGGCCATATAGATTTTGTTCCCCCTTCTTTCAAAAAGAAAAGGCCCAGTAGTAGGACATTAGTCCTGAATGTGCCAGACATGGATTATTCACTATCACGATCAAATCTTCTCTGTGCTCTCATAATCAAGGCTGTTTGCGGCCTGCTAAATCGTGCATGTCTTGCCCAGATTCCGCCCCGACTTTGAAGCCCGCTATACTCGTCGCTTCGCCCTTCCGCGCCGCTGCATTCGATTTCGCACCTCGGTCCCCGGTACCGGCGGGACTTTTATTCAGCAAGTCGTCAACACGAGAAGAGAGCCCGCTCCCTCCTTCTGCTCCACGTTTGCCTGCATCGATCGTCTCTCCTATGTTTCGATCGACAGTGCCGCCGAACGTGTCTTTGGTTTCGTCGATGATGTTCCTATCGACGCGTGCGCCGTTGATTAATTCGTCAGTTGCGCCCCGTGACTCTCCGTGATGCTTGAAAATGCATGTGGCCCCAACGACGGGAGCAGCACTCCACTTACTGGGCTTGTCCATGTTGATTCGCGTCAAGAGAGGTTGGTTCAATGCCTCGGTCTTTGGGATGACCGCCAGGCGCGGGGTCGGTTGGCGCAGGCCCTGACATTTCTTTTTTATGCACAACTCTTGTTGGTGATGTAAATTGAGGTATGGGAAGTATTTGGAACCAAAGTCGATGAGGTTTCGTTTTAATCGTTCCCATCTGCAATGTGCAACTCCTGGCTGGATCGGTGATGTCTGGTCGATTCTGGCGATCCTCGTATAACTTATAAGGGGCGCCCCTCCAACAAAAACAAATGTCATCCCACAGCATCACCTCGACGTCATTTGGGAGAATCTGTGGAGACGCAGTTGGGGTTAGACAGCGCCTAAAGAAGTAAGTGTAGTGAATATCCAAGTTGCTGGACCTTCATGACCTTTGATATTTCTGTGGTTGAGGGTATCAACAGTCGTGCATTCCATATAAACCAAAATGTACCATAATAGCATGTAGCAAATCAATGAGGCGAACATATATTATGGCAGACCTTCCCATGTAACATGAAGTCTTTTCACTCTCGCCGTTTCTTCTTCCATGCCAGCGGTAAAGTCAAGGAAATCGCTTCAAGAAGAGGAGAGGGGGAGGGGAAAGGCACCGTCGCCCAGACAGGGCGCTTGCCGTGCGAATGATCAATTCATGCATGTGTTGTCTATACAGCCTGCACAGGCCTCTGGCCGGTTACGACGATGCTAGACGTGGTCTCGATTAGCGAACATTGAAAGTTTTCTGGTCCCCATGAGAGGACGGATACACGAGAGGGAATACTCACATTTTCCAATACCCATGGATGTTGGTATCCTTCATATCCCTCCGTACATCGACCAAGAAAAGCTCAAGCTCCTCCACCGTCCACCCGAGGACACGCGTGAAAAGCGCCAAGCTGAGGCCGGACAGGCCGCCGACGACGTTCTCGAGGTTCCACATGCCAATCTCCTTGTACTTGGGATGTTTGGCCCACGGGTTGATGGGCCACTTGTACACGGCCTCGGTGACGTTGGCGAAGCCGGCCTGCACGAGCTTGTTCTTGTTCTCCTCGGCCGAGTCGAGGGAGCGGCCCAGCTTCTTGGCCGCTTCGTTCATGTAGTCGCCCCATTGCCAGCAGGCCTTCGTGGGCGGGCAGGTCGCGTCGTCGCACTGCATCGGGTACATGGCGTCCAGGAGCTCTATCCAGCCGCCGGGGGCGAGGTTGCTGCGTCTCGGCTTAGCTTTGGTTTTGTCAAGCGTGCCTTGAAGGGGTGAGAAGAGAACGACTGGACATGGAGGAAAGGGGCGGGGGGACGTACTCGTATGCCTGCCTGAATAGCCTGTCCCAGTCGGTGATAGATCCCATTAGTAGTCGCATGTAGACCAAGTCGAAGGGCGTGTTGTATGTCCACTCAGCTTCGAGGTCGTCGACGTAGAATGAGAGGTTGGGCGGCACACTGGGAGTCAAGTTCTGTTAGGGGGAAAGAAGTGTCCCACGGGAAGGGGGTATGGAGTTTCAACAAACAATGAAGGCTGGATGGGACTCAGATCAACTCCGATGACCTGAACCGCTCGGCGTGTTAGTGTTTTCGTTCGAGGAGTCTAACATGACAGGCCTGCAAAAGGAGAAGAAGAAAGGCAAGAAAAGAAACATGAAAGAAAAGAAAAGAAAATTAAAAAATCCTGGAAAATGAGCCAAGTTCAATCATACCTCTGCCTCGGGATGTTCATCCGCTAGGGATCGTGACGAGTCAGCTTCAACGAAGCTCATCATCCCCTGCACAGAGGGCTCACATACCCATGTCAATGGCCCAGATGCCAGTACCACAGCCGGCATCAAGAACGCGCCTCAGGGGCTTATCCCTCCCGGCAGGACATGTGTATAGTCTGCCATCAAAAGTGAGGAGGCAGATGTGATGTTGGAGGTCTGACACTCTCAGTCAGCATCAGTTTCCAAATGGAACTGGGAATACAAATGGCCGGGGGTTTTCTTTCCCTCGTTTTTCTTCTTCTTCTCAGTGCTTACTTACCCAATCTCTCATTTTCGCCATCGTCATTCGGCAATATGTATGCTGCAAGGTGACGAGTCAGGGGTTTTTGATGCATACCAGCCCGGGGAAGCACCTCATCCTTCGGTCACACTCACACCCGTCTTTATAGGAATGATATGTGCGCCCATTCTCGACACGATATCTAGCAATGCTAGACGCCAGAGACGTGGTTTGGCTTCCGATTGAACCCTGCAATTTTTTTTAAATCTTTTTTAGCGATACCGAGTCCGATGTGAATACCTTCAACCTCCTGAGCAACTCACCACACCTAATGCAGAGTCCGCATCGCCGTTCTGATGCGTCGGTCAAGGGTGCCCGGTGGTCAGCAACGATCCCGTGATAACTGGCGAGACGAAAAACCCCCAACTCGATCTCAAAACACAGCACAGGCACCCGACTCACATCGACTTCCAGTTCAACGTTATTGTCATGGTCGATGATCGGTGGTGGGCTGCTGCTGGTAGCTGGTTCCGGAGACACGGGCGACTTCGGACTGCTGCTTCCTGGGTTGGTCTTGGACTCGTCCGCCATTGCGGGCTGGGCGAAATGAAACCGTTTGACGACTGGCGAGCAGCGGCAGATTGTATCGAATTTGGTAAATGTCCCTGCACATGTGGTTTGAGCCTTGCGGTTTCTCTTTTCTCGTTTCGGTTTCTCTTTGTGCTACCAAGCGACCATCCCCGGCTCAGTGGGGGACAGAATGCACACGGGAAAAAGGAAATTAAAACACCGCTGCGGGTAGCCAAGCTGGGTGATTGATGGTGGTGGTTGTGTGTGTGTGTGTGTGGAGGGGGAGAGAGCACAGAGCCATGCTGCTGTGCGTTGGAAAGAGACAGGTTTCTCAAATATTACCCTCCACCGCCCTCCCCCCAGTCACCATACCATGTATCGAGTAATAGGTAACAGACGAAAGCTGGGCGCAGAATTGCCACGATTGCCACAGGTTGGCACAATCCTGGGCAAAAGGGCTGCCTGCACATGCCATCTGGTGCTGATCAACCCCTGTACTGTGTGGGCCGAATCGAACCTGTGAGTGGGGGTTTATTCCACCGGCATTCGCCTCAATGTCGTCGTATTGGCGCTGGTTGAGTTGCGGCCCGCTGTGGGCTCTGTTTGGATTCGACAGGGGGGCTTAGACTGGGCGTCCGCGGGGGTTCATAATGATCGGCACTGGTGGAGGAGGAAGCGTTCATCGATTAGGTGATGTGACGGTGTAGAAACCCCCCTGTCTACTGTCTGTTCGGAGAAAACTCCGCGGGAAGATTCAAAAACTCGTCGTCGATGAAGTGCTGCCATGTCGTGGACTCGTGGGTTCCGATGTCTCATCACACGAAATCGGGGCGGTTATGCTCGCGGTACGCTGAGGCCCTGAGGGTTCTACCAGATGAAAACCACTGAAAACACACCGCCGATTACCTGCCGGCTGCCGCTCACCTTGCGCCCGTAGTGTTTTCTAACGCTCTTTGTCTGACTCCGCCCGTGGGCCGTGGCCTTTTGCCCTGTTTTAGTTCGACAACCTGACCTTTACATATACCTGTTAGCCAGGAACCCCGGGTCCATGAGTATAATAAAAAAAGGCCAATAAATAGCACTTACAAAGTCGCCAGGTTACATTCCGCTTCGCCGAAAATTGCGGGGTGGGAACCAACCACAAAATGTCAAGTCCTGGAAATATACCCATCCTTCTTTTATTCCTGGACACTTCTCGTGGACGGAAAAAATAACGTCCGGGGAAGTTCGGGCTGATGTGGGTGGCCATGATGTCCCCGGCGCACTATTGACATCGCATGGTGCGACTCTATATCAGTGAGATGAAAGCAATAAGACAGCCGCATTAGGTATCTAGACTACCAAACACACTGGTAGCTTCTGCTTCTGGGTGGCATGAGCCATATATCTGCCATATATGGTTTCTCTAGTTTTCTGCTGCCTACATATACCCAAGGGAGACCTATACCCGCTCTGGTTCTGACTTATAAGTCACCAACTCCCCATGGAGTTGAGACATTCAATGTGAAACTGGAAACCCACATGACTAATTTACTCCTACTCCGCCATCAGCGTGTCCGTCAACGCATCCGGGCCATAATATGCTCGTCTCGCTTCTCCTCCCAGCTTTGTTGGCAACCTCAGCTACGGGCCTCTCTATCCAACATGAGAGGGCCGAACCGCCGAGCAAAGCCCTCGATGCTCGTCAAGCCGTTGTCACGCCGCCCCCCTGCGAGCCCATGGTCCCCGAGCCCAGCGCTGAAGAGACGGAAGAGAGGTTCAATCGATTTGCCAACGCCTTCCTGGTGACCAAGAACCTCACGGAAGCGTTTGAGTACATCTCCGCTACGTACATCGTGAGTAGCCGGACGCAGCAACCAGCCTTTGTCACTTGCGAATGATGCTGAGCCGGCTAATGTTATTTTCCTTTCCCGACAGAATCATAACCCCTGGGCCGAGAATGGTCCCGAAGCAGCGCTTGATGTCCTCGGGCCCATTTGGCCGACTATTGATATCACCGTCCTCCGAACAACCTTCCAGTGCAACACGGGCTGGTTGAACTACGTTGCTACCGGAGTAGGTGAAGTTGTGGATCGATTCCGTTGGGAGTCTGGCTGCATCGTTGAGCACGTAAGTAAAACAAACTTGTTTTCTGTTCCGTCGTCAAGTGGCGAGACTTCTGGCTATCCATCATGCATGATGTGCTGATTACGAGTCTGGTAGTGGGACTTTGGCGAAGTCTATCCCGAGTAAAGAGGAGGTTGATATCGGCTGGGTTGAGGTTCAGACCAAATGCAGGACACAAACCACGAACGCATATATTACCTTGGGTCCCGAGATGAGGGGACGGAAGGATAAGGGGTACATGTTATCTTGAACACTTCGGCCTACTTACAGCACAACACATTCAAAGACCCCTCGTATTCATGGGAGTAAACTATCACGTCTATATGCCGTCTATAGTCCTATGAGATATCAAGTCCCTGATCGGCCACGGGGGTTCCAACCTTTTAATTCATGCCGGCTTATTTGCATATATAACGTGTCTGTAGTCACGCAAAAGTGCTCATTAGCATGCACCTTTTCTCCTCGCTGACATCTAGTAAGAGAACCGGGAGACGAAAACTCACATGTTGTAATAGGCATGAATATGTGGGCTCGCCATATCTCTCTTCACGCTAGTAAGGAATGTGTCGACTTGATCGACAGACCATCCTAGCGCTCGAGTGAACAAGGCCATACTAAGGCCCGATACGCCTTTGGTGATGTTCTCTGTGGTCCACGCGCCTATTGGGGGGGGATCAAATCCGTCAGACCAAGTTTTACTAGTTTCACGCTGAAAGGAAAGCACAGAAGAAAAGAAGACATAAAGCAACCGTCAGGACACTTACCCAGCTCCCTGTATTTACTACTCCTGGGCCACGGGTTCTGAGGCCACTTGAATCTCTTCTTCACGATGTTGACGAACCCGGCCTCCGCCAACTGTGTGGGGTAGTGGTCGGCGCTGTCGATTGGACGTCCGACCCTGGCGGCACTTTCGAGGAGCAGGTCGGACCACCTTCTGAAGTCCGAGTCCGGGGGTATCGTGTTGTCGTCCGAAGCGACAGGGAAGACGATGTCTGTTACTTCGATGAAGCCTCCTGGCGTAAGATTCCTTCGTTTCGGCAGACGTTAGTGGGATGGGCAGTCGTAATGTTTGGTTCCACGTGGCAGAGGGCAAAAATTGATCGAAGGAGATAAAAGAAACCAACTCGTAACAATGTTCGAAGAAGCGAGGCCAGTTGGCTATGGCGCCAGTCATCATGCGGCAGTGGATAAAGTCGAACTTGGTGGTGAAGGTCCAGTTTTCTTCGAGGTCGTCGATGAAGAAATGAACGTTTGGGGGGACGCTGTGATGAGTGTCAGGGGGTCAGGGGTTATGTATAAGTTTTGGCATGAGAAACACGAGAAGAAGGGGGATACAGGCCACGTACAACGACGGCTGTATTGGACTCAAATCGACGCCGATTACCTAGGTAGGCAAGATCAGTTTCTACCCAGGTAAAGTAAATGGGGAGGCAGGGACACACCTGTGTTTCTGGATGTTCGTCGGCTGCGACGGGCATTCATTCATTAGCACACATGGAGCGTTGCGGAAGTCACCCAAGTCGGCATCTCACCAAAGTCAATCGCCCATATTCCGGTGCCAGTACCGCAATCCAAGACGCGATTCAATTGTTTCTGCTCTTTGACAGGACAAAGCTGTAGCTTGCCATCGAAGGTGAGTTGGAACATGTGATGTTGAATGTCTGTTCGAGACCTCGAGTGCTCGTCGTGAGTATGAGTATGAGATGAGTATGAACTGGGATTGCATATTTGAAGAAGACGGGCAGTGATGGCCATTATTCGAGGAAAAAGAAAAAAAAGAGAAAGAAAGAATTACATGCCTAGGCGTTCTGATTCTGGCTAAGAAGATTTAGCAATTGTCGCTTTGTCTTCTGCGGGCCTGCGGGAAAGAGATTCATATGAGAAGCCTCAAGCTGACTCTGAGCAGGGCACTCACTTCATCATTGGGGAGATGGTAAACTGAGAAGGGGATGGTCGGTCAGATTATCATTGACAAACACGAGAATAGGACAAGAGACATAAAATAAAACGAGATGGGAATGAATTCATCGTACCGCCCTCCTTGTATGCATGGTATCGTCTGCCATTTTCCATGCGATGGCGCATGATGGCAGAGGGGATGGTCATGGCAAAGCTGGCCAGACTTGACTGCCCGGCACATGAGAAGAAGTCGGAGTTGATTACCCAAGACCATGAGGATCAACTCACTGTATCGTACGCCGAGTCGACATCGTCATCGTGGTTGTCGTGAGTAACGTCCTGCTCGGTCTGGACCGTCTGGTGGCGTGGACGGTGTGATGAATCGCATCAGCGCATGGTTCTCCGAGCGACATCCATCTCAATCAAAATCCCTTTTCCTGCAACCTCCTTACCACCCCCCACCCCCCCCCCCCCCCCCCCCCCCCCCCCCCCAATCTTTACACAGTACGGATAGAGAAGAAAATGACCTACATCAGTTATGGGGGCGGATGTCGTTGTACTCAAATTGTCTGCCATCGTGGGTGAAGTCTCCGTGCGGATATTCGTTGGCGGTCTGCCGTGTTCTGTGGTCGCTTTTCTCGGTTTCTGAACTAGGTCCGTAGGAGGGGAAAGTTGCACAAAGATATCTTATCCAGTGTCCATGCCGGAGACAGTTACCCCAATCTACGAGGTGATTATTACCAAATCTACATGTACCTACAACGTACGAGGGACACGCGGGGGACCAACTGAGACATGGAGCCTAATGTTTATGCCCTCGGCTTTTTATTGGCGCGCGTTTCCTGGGCCGACTGTTAATTAGAGGATAAATTCTACACGTGTAGGGGGCTGTCGAATACGGCGTATCCGTAAAAGGATAAGTACGATAAAAAACGGTCAGATTGAGAGGTTACAAATTGATTGTATTGAAGCCGTAAAACGTGGTTAAAAACGTGTGGTTCTAGGAGGCAGAATTAACACCCGATATATACACTACATATACCTTCCGTGCCCAAATTACGTAATCGGCCGTTAGGTTATTCCATCCCCCGAGGGAGGGGAAGTGATATGTGAGAACCATTTAGAACCCCTTCCACCCGCCGTCAACGTGGTCCAGACCTCACCAACCAAGGTCCGCCCCACGCCAGACACCCGCCACGGCTCTCGTCCAATATGATGCAGCAGTGCACCTCAGCGACCCCAATGCGCCACTACAAGAAGCACCATAGGAGTTCGCGCGGCCAACTGCACCCCAAACTCATGTTCGCACATAGTCGGGAACCTGGTCGTACAGCAGCCACTGCGGCAGCGTCGGTTCGGCGTTCCCAGCCTCGTCGTGCACGGCCATCTCCGAACGCCCGTGGAACGTATCGTTGATGGCACGCAACTGATCCAAGACGCCCTCCGACTCGAACGGGAGCGTCGCACACCGCTGGGTCGGCAGGTCCCCCAGGAAGCCGTCCATGGCGGGGTTCAGCCCCGGAGAACCCGGGTGGTACGGCAGGGGACTCGTTGCCATCTTGTACCTCCGGTCGAACAGCCAGCGGGACAACGTGGCTCAGGAGAGAGCCCCCCGACCCCCAGCACTGTCTTGACGATGATGCGCGTGGCCTAGCGAAAGATGCCGACGAGCGCGGACGCGAGGCGCAGCGCCCACCGGTCTTCCGTCCGGGCGGGCCCCGTTATGTCGTCGACCTCCAGCGAAGCGGCGCGAGCAACGGGGTTTGTTCGGTATGGTGTCCCGTATGATCGTGTTGTGAGCCGGCATCAGGATGAGACCGTTCGCCCTGCAGAGGGTGAGATATGTGGACCGGGACCAACGTCCCTAGAGCCGGTCCTCTCTGATCGTCGTGCCTTTAGACATGAGGAGGGATTCGGAATCTTCTGCTCCGCGTGGATGTGTAAGTGCACATGTTTTTGAGTGTCTTGCTTTCCTCTCGTCGGGGCGGATGCTTGAGAATGCATGAGTAGCTGAGCATAGCATGTCGAAAAGGTCTGCCTAGTCTGCCCACTCGGATCAAGCTCGGTCTTTGTCTTTAGCTTTTGGAACATGTGGGCGGTCCTCTTTACCCTAATGCCCAAAGGGTTGTTCGTAGAGTTGCAAATCGAACGGGGAAGAGTATTGAAACGAACTTGTCGATCAATATCAAACACCGTGCCACTATGAGCCTATATAAAACTTATACACTCGAAAAGCATTCGCTCCTCGGTACAACAATGTTATTCAAGCCCCAAGATAACTCCTGCGCATATCAGCATTTTGCCGGGTATCCGAAAAGACAGAAGACAGAGCAGAAACAACACGTGAAACACACTCCGTTCGTTTGCGTTTGTCAAAGACCTGAGTGGACGATTCCTAGTAATCTTTCATGGTGAGAATCCAGTTGAGCAGTTGCAACCCCTTCATTCAGCCGTCAACGCCAACGGTCCTTTCACCCTCTATTTTGTTCGCCACCCCTGGTGCATATGAAGAGTATTAGTGTCTAGTCCATTAGACTTATCATCTTGTAATGAAAAATCCGGTTCGAAGCAAGGGATATATGGGTGGAAAGACATACAAAATAGATAAAGTGATATCACCATTAATCTTGGCCTTCAACTCGACATCCAGTTCGAGATCCATGTCGAGACGGACTGCGGGCGCGCCGCTTTTACTTCTTCGGCCACGGCTCTGCGTAATCTGGCGTTGGTCTGTCTTTTGTTGCAGTTGTTGCTGATCAGGGACGTTGCGCGTGGTCACGGCGTGCATGTTGTCGAGGCTCCGGCGTCGCCCACGGTGGACAAGCCGACGGTGTGCAGTCGAGGCGTCGTCTTCGCTGATTGATCGTCGCCGGGTAGACGTTAATTGTCGATTTTCTTGGGTCGGATGCGTCCCAACATGGGGTCCTTCTTGTCTCGAGGCCCGGTTCGAAATGGCTTGGCCCTCATTTGGGCGGGTTCTCGGCGGTCCCTCAGCGTTTTCCATCCCTTCGCGGATTGTGTGCGATGATCGAAAATGACCAAAATAGCTTCACTGTTTCTTTTGTTCTGTTGAGAGGGGGAAATGGCTACAGGTTGGTGTAACTGTTGAGTTGGCGATGACTTATCTGCCAATTGCAAAATGTCCAGGGCCCCCATTGAAATTCAATTACGAGCAAAATCACATGTTGCCTCCTAGAATAAGAGTATGACGTCCGAGTAAATGACCTCGGGGGGACGTCCATTGAATGATGATGTCACCCAAGGAAAATATGGTGCTTGAATGATGACAGGGGGTGTTGAGATGCCGGTCGATTTGAGCTTAACAGTAAACTATCCGCCTGATTAAGGGCTGAGGATGGGATATGAGAGTGTACATAACTCATTGTTGTCGCGTATGGTTTATAATGTCCAGTCAATTGGCGGCCGTACTAACACATCCTATATGCCACTTTGTTGAACATTCTCATTCTTATACGGTCTTCAACACATCACTCTCACTCTCACTCACCTATCAGATACAGCCTAACTTAACCGTCAAAAATAGGGTCAAAATTGAAGGGTAAATTGATTAAGGTAATTATATAGTTCTCCCTTCCAGGACTATCGGGGAACTGCTGCTATCGTTTTATATATAGTAAGAGGTTATTAATACCTTTATATTTACTATAGAATATAAAAAGAAAGGTGGTATTTATAAATACTAAAGAGAGTGGTTATAGGAGAGGGGAAAAAAGAGGTTTACTTAGAAGCCTTGAAGAAAATACTATATCGTATAGTGAAAGGAAGGAATAAAGGCATATATAGTATACTACCTAGCTATTACTTCCCTTTAACGCTATTCTTAGAATTCTTTTATATTTCCTTCCCCTTTCTTTTACCTTTATACCGTCCCTCACCGAAATGACGGAGAAAGCTCTCGACATCCTTAGCCGCAGCACTGAAGACGAAGCAAAGGGCTTCTTCATCATGATCGAAGCATCGCGCATAGACCACGCCTCTCACGCAAACGACGCCGCCGCCCACATCTGGGACGTGGTCGAGTACAACCGCCTCATTCATTCCGTCATGGCCTGGGTCGACGAGCACCCGGACACGGCGGTCGTCTCTGCCGCCGACCACGAGACGGGAGGTATCACCCTGCCGCCGGGGTACGATCCCCGTCCGGTGGGGCGGGCGAACCACTCGCTCGAGTTTCTGGTCGATCTGATCGACGAGTGTGAAGGGGACATGGACGACAAGCGGGCGTACCTCGAAGCGGAGATCTTGCCCCAGTACGGCGTGGATGATGCTACGGGCGAGGAAATCGGGGCCCTTTTGGACGCTGAGGATGTTACGGCTGCTCTCGCCGCTACGTTGAATGAGAGGATTGGTGTCGAGTGGTCTACGACCGACCACTCGGCTGTCGATGTAGTACTGTATGCTTATGCGGCGGGGGAGATGAAGACTCGGTTGTTGGAAGACCTTGCCGGGACGAAGGAAAATGTGCAGCTTCCTCGGTATGTCGCCGAGGCCTTGGGGGTGAGTTTGGATGAGGTCACGGCGTTGTTGAGGGGAAATGGGACTGTGTGAGTTTTGAAATGAGTTGAGATATATTGGATGATAGTGAATTATTGTAAATTGCGCTAATAAGAGTTTAATAAGAGAGCACAGTCTATGTTGATCCCGGTTGTTGAGATCAAACTCAAAATTTATGGGTGAACTCCTTTGTCCTTCTCACACAAGGGTCAAGACGCAGAACAACTGGATCTCTGAGAATCCAGCCCATCTACTCGGACAGGACGAGATCAGGTAGCAATTCTGATTATTCTTTACTTCTTCTTCCTGGGGTTTTGACTGCGAAGTGGTGATGAGAGTGCGCTTGGTGGTTGCTGAAGCCCACATCACGCAAGTACGATCAAACCTATATGACATGCGCAACGGGTGCCCCTGGGTTAAAAGACCATAGTTAATTCGAAACGAACGACTCCTCCCTATTCGCCAAAGAATGGAACTTGGATTCTAAGTTCCAGTGATGCCCCATGTTGGCGATGTTATGACATACACCTCACTGGTTCAACCGGTGGCACATGGCTGACGCCTTTAGAGCGATGAATTTTCTATTACACACTATTCCAAAAAATATCCACCAAGCTGAAGTCTCATATACTTCTCAACCTGGAATAGAACTGCGTTCCATGGTCACTGGAATAGTTTCATGAGCACATTACTCGGATCATGTTGATTCGTCCGCGGTCTTGTGACACCAAGACGCCGCATGACAATTCCTCCTCAGCTTCCTCTGACTTCTTTCGGGGAAGCAAAGCACTTGTCTGCAGCATTGAGGCTTCATCTCGAAAGAGGTGGGAGCATGTGACCTACAGAGGCAATGCAAACACTGTGCATCGGATATGGGACTAGCCCAGCGTCTATGCATCATTACAAGGGCGAGGGGGATGCCGGTTAGCCTACCGGTTGTTAAAGGGCTTCCTAACGGCTTGCTTGATAGGGGGGGCAGCTCTGGTCCTGGGCCTGGAGTGAGCGGAACCTGTTGAGCAAGTTTCCTGGCCCTCACCCTCCATGGAATGTTCGGTGGAAGTCTCGGAAGGCTGATCCAAAGTCTCCTGGGGCAAGTTGAATGAGACGGATTCGGTAACGGAGGAAGAAGAGGTTCCTGATGACTTCGAAATGCGTGTTGGAGCCATGTTGTTGTCGTGTCTTGGGGATCTTTTGCACGGGAATACGAATGCCGCGTCACAAATGTAGTTGAGGTATGGTATGCCGTCTCGTTGAGTTTGTTGGTACCGATGCTGTATGTTTCAAGGCTTTGGACGAACGATGTGACGCCATGTGGAAATGCATGTGCATATATATAGCCTTCTAAATGAATACATTCCACTCAATTTGTGCTCTAACAACTGTAACGCTTCTAATCAGAGTTGCTTATCGTAGCTAGCAGGTTTTGATGCGGTAGATGCAGACATCAGTCTATGGTTGTTCTAACGTTGTGGAGAACCAAATGGTTGATCAATGTTGGGATTCTTTGTGGAAACAAGTTCGAATGTTATGTCACAGCATTCGGCACTTGAGATGAGACATTTCATCTGGTAAAGATCTCTGGGGCTGAACCGTAAGCACTGGGAAATACCAATAGACCTGAAGCAAAGCTGCAGTGAGATTTGGAACTGAATTTCCAGATTTGGAGCCCATTCTGCCTGCAGACAATCCTATCCCAACACGAGGTGATCCAGTCCAGTGGCCCCTTTTGGTATAGACTTGATCAACCACGTACTTCGTGTTACACGAGGACGTGGCGTGGACAATGGAGATGTTCACGAGGCTGTGTGATGTGAGAACGAAATCCTGGAACGCTTCCGTAGGCCGTCATGACCCATTTCAAAAAACTGCAAAAGACAATTGCCGATTATGGGGGACAGCATGGTCATATACCTACCTAGCCGTAATTAGAGAATGCCTTGCTGCCGTTCCAGGAAACCCGGCAACGAGCCACTAGGTTTCCTTCTCATTGACACGCAAAGAGACCAAATAAAGAAACGGAGATTAACGCAGACGCCTCCGATATGACGGTGCAACCCTTCGGGTCTGCAGTGCAAGACCCCGAAACAGGCCACGCCCAGTACGTCAGTTCGGCAACGTTTGGGGCTTGATTCTTGGCTGCCAGCCCGTGGGGTATGTCGTAGGGAATGTGGACAGTGGGATGGCTGGTGGAAAGGGGCTTATTAGCTGGGTCCGTAACGGAGATGACGGAGAGCCCGCCACGTATTCCGCGGTGCGTCCGTAGACTATGTGTAGTACCTACATTCGTCCCATCGGAACCCGGACCGACAAACTAGGCCTGTTGGTATATATATGCAGTAACGGTGTAGCAAAGCACGATATGTCATACTGGGCCAGCGTCTATGGATACGGCCCTCGGCGTCAAGTAGGTACGGATACTCCGTACGACCCCAAATATCTCCAATTCATACAAGTTACAAGGTACAGAGAAGATCAATCATCAATCCATTGGCCTATGGGCCTATGGGCCGGTTATTCGGCGCCGTCGGAGAGTTGACGTACGTAAGTCGAGTAGAGTAGAATAGGGGTCTGCTGCCTGCATGCCGTCTCGTCTTGTCTCGTCTCGTCTCTGCTGCGGCCTTCGGTCATAATTACTGCATCCTTCTCGAACAAACAGGTCATGAGGCAGATGGAAGCAAAGTAAGACGGCCCGATGCATGAGGCACAACTGGAAGCACGCGCGCCTCACCGTTCAGGGAATCAGGTTCATAATTCATTGCATCATACCTGCTCGAGTTGAACTAGTTAATAACTTAAGAACTGGTCTGGTTTTTGATAGATGCGTACCCGAACCGTGTAGATTAATGGCATATCATCATTGCGGTAAACGGATGGGAATCAACACACTCTCAGAGTCTGTAGACGTCTGGTTGGGGAATCTGAAAACGGAAGTATCACGGATGATCGAGTCCGTTGGAACGCCAGGACAAGGGTCCAGGTGCCGAGCTAATGCATGCAGCATGCCTACCCATCAACCCCTGTAACGCCATGGCTTTGTATCGAACATTCTACTGGCTCTCATCCCCTGCCCTGGTCTAGAATCGTGCGCTTTCCCCAGTCCGACCACATCCAATAGCCGGAGGCTAGTCTTCTCCAAGGTCTGGGGCCGCCGGCTCGGAGGTGGCCAAGGCGAGTCGGCTGACTTGAGTGTCAGGAGGGGGCTTCCCCTTTCCCCCCCCAGCTGAATGTTTATTATTATTATTATTTTTTTTTTATTTACTTCATATATGCGTATTCTTTACCACCTGCTTGTCCGTTCGGGGTCCTATGCTCCGAATGTTCGAAAAGGGGATTTCTTGGGAAGACTAGACCTGTTATGGCCTCCTCTGAGCCCTCTCCCCCAGAACCAGTCCTCACTCACTAATTTTCTTACCAGACAAACAGTATCCCGAGACAATGGGTTCTGGTTCGTGCAACATCCAAAAACGATGAAAGATCGTCTGTGTTAAGCTCAAAATCGCTGCAAAACCAGATGAAAGATCGACAGCGGCTCTCAACGACAACGACGATCAACTGTCAACTTGCACGATCAAAAGTTGCTGATCTCATTCCAACTTCTCCAGATTTTCCTCTCTCCTTTTCCCCTCATTTAGCCGGAATCCATTCCCCCGCATCGAACGAAATAGCCCCTGACGGCATGTAGAAAGGCCGCCGACGAAAGGGGGGTGGGGGGCATGGGGTATGGGGATCACGGCAGCCAGGGGGGGCATCTAAACGGGCGGATCGAGTTTGCCACGCCTGGTCTCCTCCCCCCCAGTGCCCTCACATCTAATATCAAATTCCCCCATCTCCGTATGCACTCTGACACTATGGACTTTGGCCTATGGACAGATGAGCATGATTCCCACCGTTTTCCTACAACGTACCATGCTCGCACTGCTCCGAACTTCATCCGGTTGGTCCAGGTCGAGGAAGGGGATCCGTCATGTGCCTTGCCAAAAAGGACCCATCGTAATGCCCAATATGAAAGCTCCGTACATTACAACGTAAAAACATCCAAGCTGGGGCAGGAGTCCGAAAACCGACCCAGATCAAGCGTCCGTGTGACCCAATGCAGTCCCAGACGTCTCTACCATTCTTCTCTTCCGGATGTCCCGTCTGGGTGGCGATGCTGCCATGCACTATGGATCGACGGTATCTTCCTTCCGCTGGGCGGTTGAGGAACGAAGGTGGGCGGCTACCTCGGCATTGCTGGGTGATCCCCTGTCCTTTACATTGGTCCCTACATGGTACTATAGTAGGCGAGAGGTTCTAGCGTAGGCATAGAGCCGCCGTAGACCAATGGAGGAGGACGGACGAGTGCAAGGGGGAAAGGGGGAAACGCGGCCGGTCCTCTTTGCGTACAACGTGTACGAAGGACCTGCTTCACACGCGTCCGACGAGCCTAAAAGTTCAAAAATCAGGAACCAGTGGAGACGTTACCCCGGAGAAGCGCAGTGTCTACTCCGAAGCCCTGTATTTCGGATCTCTTCTTTCCGCTCCGACTACGTCCTATCCCAAGAATGGATGCATCATGCCACGGAGGGAAAGAAAGCTTGCAAGATGCTCATGCAGGGAAATACGAGGAGACGAAAGCCAAAACCACTGGACGTCGAAAGCAGTATAAAGACACCACGAGACTCGACGATTCCTTGGACTTTTCTTCCCCCCCCTTTTCTCTCCTCACCCAGCTCACCTGTGTCTCAACAATCCCCATCACAGAGAAGCAGGTTCATCCCCGGCCCCCTCCCGTCCCTTTCAAGTCTCCCTCCCGCACCAAAATCGCCCATCATGAAGCGCTCCATCCTTAGCGGCCTTGCCCTGCTGGCCTCCGCCATGGCCCAGCAGGCCGGTACCCAGGAGACTGAGACTCACCCCAGCATCACCTGGCAGCGTTGCTCCACCAGCGGCTGCCAGAACGTCAATGCTGCCATCGTCATTGACTCCAACTGGCGCTGGGCCCACGAGGTCGGCGGCTACGAGAACTGCTTCGAGGGCAACGAGTGGACCGGCCTCTGCACCAGCAACGATGACTGCGCCAAGAACTGCGCCATCGAGGGTGCCAACTACCAGCAGACCTACGGTGTCTCCACTAGCGGCGATGCCCTCTCCCTCCGCTTCGTCACCGAGCACGAGTACGGCACCAACATTGGCTCGCGTACCTACCTCATGGAGAGCTCCACCAAGTATCAGATGTTCACTCTGATGGATAACGAGCTCGCCTTCGATGTCGACCTGTCCGGTGTCCCCTGCGGCATGAACAGCGCCCTCTACCTCGTCCCTATGGCCTCTGACGGTGGTCTCTCCACTGAGCCCAACAACGGCGCCGGTGCCAAGTACGGCACTGGTTACTGCGACGCCCAGTGCGCTCGTGACCTCAAGTGGGTTGGCGGTACTGTAAGTTGTCCACTCGACTTCCATCTCCCCCTGTCTTGTCCCACATGCATGGACCATGTACTGACTCGACCCGACCATCTAGGCCAACTACGAGGGCTGGGCCGCTTCCGCCACCGACGACAACGCCGGTGTTGGCCGCATGGGCTCTTGCTGCGCTGAGATCGACATCTGGGAGTCCAACCGCGAGTCCTTCGCCTTCACCCCCCACGCCTGCGAGGACAACAGCTACCACGTCTGCATTGACACCGACTGCGGTGGTACCTACTCCGAGAACCGCTTCGCCGGCAAGTGCGACGCCAACGGCTGCGACTACAACCCGTACCGTCTCGGCAACCATAACTTCTATGGTACTGGCGCCAGCAACACCATCAACACCAACTCGAAGTTCACTGTCATCTCTCGCTTCGAGGAGGACAGCGCCTACCAGATCTTCATCCAGAACGGCCAGGTCATCCACCCGCCCGCCCCTGCTCTCGACGGCCTGACCCACTTCGATGCCGAAATCACCCCCCAGTTCTGCGAGGACTACCCCATCATCTTCGAGGACCGTGACCGTCACGGCGAGATTGGTGGCCACACCCAGCTCAACGCTGCCCTCCGCATGCCCATGGTCCTCGTCCTCTCCATCTGGGCTGACGTATGTTTTCTTTTTCTTCCCCTCCCCCTTTTCTCACCCTTTTCCCAACTAACAAAAACGCATAGCACAACTCCAACATGCTCTGGCTCGACTCCCTCTACCCCCCCGAGAAGGAGGGTATCCCGGGCACTCTCCGTGGCCGCTGCCCCACGACCGGCCGCACCCCCGCCGATGTCATCGCGAACCACCCCAACGCTTCCGTCACCTGGTCCAACATCCGCTTCGGTCCCATTGGCACCACCTACAACGTCGATGGCGGCGTCTCGCCTCCCCCAGGCGGCAGCCCGCCTCCCACCAACCCTCCTCCCACCAACCCTCCCCCCACCAACCCTCCCCCCACCAACCCTCCCCCCACCACCCCTCCTCCTTCGGGCAACTGCGCCGGCATGTGGGGCCAGTGCGGTGGCCAGGGCTGGAGCGGCCCTACCTGCTGCTCGCAGGGCACCTGCCAGCAGCAGAACCCCTGGTACTCTCAGTGCCTGTAAGCGCATCCTCGCGCGCTTGACCCGGCCTCGTCGTCGCCTCCCACGTTGTCAAGATAGGTTCCGCGGTGGGGGTGGGATGGGTTTGGCGGTAGATGGGGTGGATGGATGGGCAAAGGGTGTCTTTTTCTACGTGTTCTTAGCCTCCGCCCTTGGGTGGTGGTTGGGAGAGGAGAAAAGGGGGTTGAAGAGGGCTTCAGTTCTGTAAAGAGTTGGAATTGTCTTTTCGGCTTCCCGTTTCTTTCTGGGACATACTTTTGTGTGTGTATTCTCACATTCAAGCCCGCCAAAGCATATAAATTGCAAGTACATATTCCTATGTCATGAGAACTACACATTGTTCAAACAAAAGCCTTTCGTGATGTGTCTCCTCATAATTCGTTGTGAACCTTCCAAGTGCCAACTTGACCACTTGATTCGTTTCTTCCTTTTTTTCTTCTTCTTTTTTCTTCCTTTTTTCTTTCTTACTTTTCCTATTTCTTTCTTCGGGGTTGTGCATCATCTCTGTATCCTCATTGTCTCTTCGAGGTCCTTCCCCATCCTGGCGTCCTGTCTCACCAGCGGAGGCGGTGCAGTGTCTTTGTATGTTTGTCTTCGGCTTGAGGATGACGATACTGTCATTGCGCTGGATTGAGAGGACTGTGTCTGGTCATGGGTGGTATTTGCCCCATCCTGGGCGTAGATGCTCTGGAACGAGTCGTCCATCGTGCGGGACGAGAGGCGGGACTCGCTGAATGATGTGCGTGAAGTTGGTTTCTTGGCAAATGTGTATGAATTTCCAGGTCGTGCAAGACTGCAAACCAAGGGAATAATCTCGGTTTTATGCGATGGGTGCAACAAAGGGCACGTAATGCTGTAGAATTACTTGTATATTTGTTCGTATACTCTTGGTATGTTCAGGACTCGACTCACTCGAGTAGTTATAAAGCGGACTGTTCGACGGGTTGGGATTTCCTGGGAGATTTTGGGCCGTGGTGCCCTGACTGACCCCTTTGGTCGGTTTGGCCACCTTCTTGGCAAGTTGGCGCCCTTTGCCCCTTTGGCATTGCCCCTTTCTACCAGCCGCCTTTGACCAGCCCCCTCGTTTATCCAGGAACTGCCTCACTATTCGCTTGAAACAAGAGCCAATTCTCCTCCGTGTTCACCTAGTCTTTGCTTCTTTGAAGACACATACTAATTTCTTACCTCAAAAAAACAAGGCGACTACGCCGGCGCCTATTATTTCTTTGCCTCACTTTGTCCCCATCTCCAAATCTTTGATTAGGTCATCAATGGACGAGTCCGGGGCCGGAACACGTGGACGGGACCCGGGGCCACGGATCCAGCCGAGAGCCCGAGACCCAACGCCCCGGGTTACCCACATGTACCGACCGACCGTTCTAAAATAGCGGTTCATGGACGGAGCTATGGTGTAATTACTGTGGATTGCGACGAGATATTACCCCGAGAGCTGATCAAATTTCGAGGCAGCCCGTGGCAAGATGACAGGATCCCAGTTCAGGAACATCTCACGTGGGGGCAGACACGATTATCAATGGACAGCGGCAATGCCCAGCCGACCCAGAGAAAATTTCGACTTTTTTGTTGACCAATTATGTCGTTGAAAATATAGGACTAACGACGTTAGCTAGAGGCGACCCATCATCAGAAGAAGACGAGGGCGTCAAGACGGTCGAGTACTTTTACATGGATGCATCAGCTTCATTGCTTCAACGGCGACCCAATGTCCAATCATCTATAATACTTGAGCCAACGCTTACCCCCCGTTTGTACGTACGACGAAACCCTCCCAGTCTCCTTCTCCTGAATTTCAGCTCAGAGTTCGTAAACAGTCCAAGAGTCAAAGACCAGCGTCAGCTAACGGCTTAACATCAAAGATGGTCACCAAAGTTACCAAACTCATAACGCTGATGGCGAATCTCTCCATCTGCTCCGCCGCCTGTCTGAGCAGCGAGATCCATCGCATTCAAAGCCCGAGGCATCAACTTTTCTACTCCCCGCCCTACGCCCCCCCTTCCATTCACAATGCGCCCCGCCTCCTCGTCATCGGCGACGTCCATGGCATGCGCCACGAGCTGGAAGAACTACTAGAGAAGGCCGAATACTCCCCCACGCGCGGCGACCGCGTCATCCTAGCCGGCGACCTGATCAACAAAGGCCCCGACAGCACCGGCGTCCTCGAGCTCGCCATGCAAATCAACGCCACGGCCGTCCGCGGCAACCACGAGGACAGGGTGCTGCGAGCGTGGGCCGGCGCCGAGGTGGCTCGGACCCTCGCCGAGGCCAACGGCGAGGACGGCGACGCCGCCGTCTCCGACTACGAGAGCCGCCTGAACGCGAACGAGCTGGAGGCCCTCCGGACGGCGTGGACTTTGACCCCCGAGCAGCGCGCCTGGTCTGCTGCGCTGCCCCTGACGCTCCGCCTCGGCGACCTGCCCGGGCTGGGCGAGGCGGCTGTGGTCCACGCGGGGATGGCGCCCGGCGTGGCGGTCGAGGAACAGGATCCGTGGGCCATGTACACCGTCCGTTCGGTTCTTCGCATGGATGAGAACGGCGGCTTCGTGAGCGACAAAGAAGGAGCTGCGTTCGAGCAGGCCCTTCGCACGAAGCTGCGGGATATGAGGCCCGGTACAGAGCCTTCCGATGAGCGAATCGCTGCTGAGAGAGAGAAGGCACTCGAGATACATGCTGGTCGCACGGGCGGCAGTTTCGTCCCCACGGATACGAATGACGGCCAGTGGTGGGTCGAGGTCTGGAACGAGGTTCAAAAGGCAAAGCCCGAGGGCGAAACGCTTACCCTCTTCTATGGCCATGATTCTAGGCGGGGCATCAACATCTGGGACTACTCGTTTGGTCTTGACAGCAGGTGTGTCGACGGTGGGAAGCTGACGGCTCTGGTGCTTGAGCCCGATGAGAGCAGCGTTTGCGGGTCGTCAGTGTCACTTCTACACCGGTTGGTGGACGTACCTTGCTGATGTATCCTATGACAACCTGTTGGATAGTTGAATCCCGCAAATCAGCAGAACCAATGAACAGAGTTGTGCGGGTCGCCTATGCGGACGGAGCTGCTATCTATGAGCGGGAGCCCGAAGGGACTCGGGGGCCGGCACTCGGGAGTCGGGAGTCGGGACGGACCTGACGAAATACCGACGGAAGCCGATCGCCCACCATCTCGTCCGTTACAGCGTCATGTAAGCTGCCGTCAAACGGGCCGATTGGCGCGTCACGCGGGGTCATGCTCGTCTGTCCTTCGGGGAGCTATGTCACCGGTGCTGATGTGTCGGTGGACGCTGGCCTGTCTGTTCTGTTTTTTAGTTGTCTTTGGGGACTGCACAATTATTTCCCTTCTGTCCCCGATTCCCTTCACATCCCTTGTATGCATATACTTGCTCCAGGCAGGATTTCGTCAACTGTTCTTTTGGTTTAGTCTAACAAGCCTGTTCAAGGACAGCCAGCTAAGCGCCACGCTATATCTGCTGTAAAACAAAGAGAGAGAAAAAGAGAGAAAAAGGTGCAAATGGAAAAGAGGAAAAAAAAATCCGAAGAAAACAGGAACAATATCAAAGAAAGCCAGTGATAAGATGCCCGATGCCCGATGCGCCTATATGCTCCGCTTTTCCCACCTCTATCACTGTACTCTATCTGGGCCATGACGAACCCAATGTATGGTATTATAAGGAATGTATAAGAAAAAATTGTCAACAGGCCGAAACCAGTTGCTCATCTCCGGTTGAAGTTGAGGAATCGAGACTGCGGAGACGTCAGTCAGTATAACCGTTCACAACAAGCAGTGGGGGTGGGGAAGGGGAATCGAAGGACCAAGACATACCGCTGCGAAGAGAATGATCAAATTGCTGCCCACGAAAGCCAGGAAAATGCCCAGCTCCCGCCACCGCAGCCCGAACTCGAACAGCATGGGCTCGTAAAACTCATCGCCCACCTGGAACGCGCAGTACTCGCACGACTGCGTATCATTGCTGACCAGATACCCGGGACCGCCCGCGTCGAAAAAGTCCCGCATGTACTCGCCGCACGTCTGCCCCTCGGGCGCCGTGAACGCGCTGAGCTCGCCCGGCGTACACTGCACTTCGACCCCCTGCAGCGCCGTCGTGACCATGCCGCCGATGAGCCGCGTGAAGGGATCGAGGTGGTACAGCCAGGCGCGCCAAAAACCCGGCATCTGCGGCGGCGTGATGACCACGCCGCAGAACAGCGCGAACGTGATCATGATGAACGGGTCGAACTGGCACGAGATGAAGGACGACCGCGTCAGCGCCGCGAGAGCCTGGCCCATCGTCACGGAGAAGAGTTCGGTGATGAGGACCATGAGGAACTGGTAGCCCGCCCGCGACGCCTCCGCCTGCAGACCCGGCGGGAAGTAGATGAGCACGAAGAACACTACGGCGCAGAGGATCGAGTACGGCATCTCGGCCACCACCATGGAAGTGGCAAACGTGAACGGGTTGTACATCTTGGACGACGCCTCGCGGAAGAAGATGGCCCGCTTGACGTGGAACATGACCTCCACCTGGCTGATGATGAGCGCCGGCAGCACCGTCACCTGGAACATGATGAACACCTTGTACTGCAGGCTGATCAGGCTGTTGTCGAGGTTGAGGTACGTCAGCCCCGTGATCAGCGCCACCGCGACGTGGTTGAAGAGCCTGGTGAAGAGGTAGTTGGGGCTGCGCCAGAAGCTGCGGTTCATCCGGGCGACGACCACCTTCAGCTGGTGAAGCACGGGGCTGGCGTATTCCTTCTCGAGGCTCGGGTCGATGGATTTGACAGCGGCCGACCGTTGCTCCTTCATCTGCCGGATGGTCTCCTTGACGTTGGCCAGCTCTGGGCTCTCGTCCCAGATGTCCGCCCAGTCACGCGAGCCGATGCGAGGCGTCGAGCCCGCGCCGATGGCCTCGAGCATGAACTCTGCCACGTTATCTGTCGGTTTGGCGTCGGCACCGTGGCGGCTCAGATAGTCACGCAGAATACTCGCGTCCGGGCCGATGTCGCCGAAGTAGACGGTGCGGCCACCCCTCTGCAACAGCAGCAACCGGTCAAAGTGATCAAAGAGGGCAGCGTTGGGCTGGTGGATGGTGCACAGGATAGCCTGGCCGGCCGCCGCCAACTTCCGCAGAAAGCGGACAATGTTATACGCGCTCTGGCTATCAAGGCCCGATGTCGGTTCGTCCAGGAAAAGCAAAAGCTCGGGCTTCGCGGCCAGTTCGACGCCGATTGTGACACGCTTGCGCTGCTCGACCGTCAGGCCCGACTCGGGCGTGCCGATTATGCAATCCGCGATTTCCTCCATCTCCAGCAGCGCGATGATCTCTTCCACATACGAGTATCGTTCTTCCTGCGGTGTCTCAAAAGGTTGTCGGAGGTCAGCCGAGAACCGAAGCGCCTCCCGAACCGTCTGTGTCGGGTCGTGCATGTCAATTTGCTCGGCATACGAAGTACTGCGCTGGAACTGCTTCCCCGGCTTGACACCATCGACGAGCACATCCCCCGTAATGACACCAATGTTCTTCCGCGCCGCGAGGACGTCGAGGAGGGTGGTCTTTCCGGCACCCGAAGCGCCCATAAGGGCGGTGAGTTGCCCCGGCTTGACGTACCCAAAGACGTTGTTGAGCAGGCGACGGGTGCCCCCCGGAACCGGCACGTCGTAGTCGAGATTCTCCCAGGTAAGCACGCTCTCCGACTGAATCTCGAGACCCTCCGAGCTCTCGGCCTCCTTCTTGCCCTTCCGCTTCCCGTCGCGTTTCTGCAGCAGCGCCTGGTTGAGCTTCTTGCGCTCAGCATTCGGTTTCTGGTACACCCTGGCCGTGTTGCCGCCGGCGCCGAACTTGACGAGCTCGCCGAAGACGACATTGAGGATGAGGAAGAAAATGATGAGGGCCATAATGATGCCGAAGTTGCGCCAGAGTCCTCCGGGGTAGTACGAAAATCCCTGCGAGATGTAGTCAGAGCCCTCGACAAAGGTCGTGCCAGGCCGGGAACCGGGCAGCGTGCAGACCTGATGGTTGATATCGCCGTAGCCCGGGCCTGAAGGGATGAGCGACTCGTCGGAACAGGTCAAATCGATGCGGCCAAACTCGTTCTCCATCATGCCGGCAAAGGCTAAGCCTAAAGAATTCACCCAGAACATCCAGCGGAACCACGGTGGAATGGACTGGTACTGTATCAGATAGCCCGACGTGACGACGAAGAAGGTGATGAGCACGCAAGCAAACTTGATGGCGTAGTCGAAATCCGGGCTGACGCAGCCCAGTGTGCGGAAGAAGAGAGTCATGGCGATGTTACCGCACAGGACCATGAGGTAGAATGTGAAGAAGGCGCCCGCGTCCCGGACGAGGCCCGTCATGAAGTAGACGATAATGGAGAAAACCATGATCTGGCTGGCGGAGAACACCTGGTCCACGAGGATCTGGGCTATCCAGAGAGCCGAGGGCCGATGGAAGGCGTACGCTTTGTGCTTGTTGACGACGCCGCGGCCCAGCATGGTGCCTGCGAGCTCGGAGAAGGCCTGGAAGGCGTTGAACAAGAGGGCGATGAACATGAGGCCGCCCTTGCTGAAGGCGCTGGCCGAGGTGCTGCCGAGGTCGTAGAACAGGGTACCAAGGACGATGGCGATCACGATGGAACGGAGCCAGGAAAGGGAAAGAAGGAAGCGGTCCTGCAGCTTGAGGAGGAACTGGCGTTTCATGAGAGCCCAGACCTGAAGGTGGAAGCCGGCCGAGTAGACGGACCGGTGGGATGACCCGCGCTTCGCCTCACACACGGCGACGCGGAAGTCCTCGTGACGGTCGGCCTCCTTTTCCAGGTTGGCCTTATAGTTTTCCATCTCGGCGCCGAGGCGCTTCTGGAATGCCGAGGACTTGAACGCCTGGGCCAGGGTCTCGGCGTCGCGCGGTGCATTCTCGGGAGAACGGCCGGGTGCGTACTCCCGCTCGAACTCGTCGGTGCAGCCGGTCAGGTAGTCAGGCGTGGTCTGGCGCGGCCTGGGAGCAAAGCCGAGGCCCTCGAAGTAGGCCCTCGCTTCGGCTACGGGGCCGAAGAAGACTTGCTTTCCGCTGTCAATGACCATGACCTTGTCGAACAGGTTATAGATGTTTTCCGAGGCTTGGTATAGCGACACAAACGTTGTCGTCTTGTAAAGGTTGGTCAGCACGCGGAGAGATTTAGTGAAGTCGAGGGCAGTACTGGCGTCCAAGCCCCGGGTGCTGTTATCCCAAGAGAGGATACAGGCGTTGGTGACCATCATCTCGGCAATCGAGACGCGTTTCTTTTCGCCTCCGGAGATGCCACGCACAAAGGCGTCGCCGACCACGGTGTGTCTCGTATGCTCAATGTTGAACATCTTGAGCAAGGTAGAGATGACGGTGGCCTTGAAGTCCTGCTTGGACATGCCGGCTGGGCGCTTCTTGGGGGTCTTGGTCTCGAGGGCAAAATTCAGGGTCTGTTCAACAGTCAGCGTCGAGAGATGGACGTCGTCCTCCTGGTTGTACACGGCCTCGCCGCGGTAGCGGTTGAACTCCTTGGCGGTGAAGGGCCCGTATCGGACATCACCCTCGACGGATGTGTATCCAGCCCGTTGGTTGGCGATGGTCTTGAGGAATGTGGTGCAACCGGAGCCGGGCCTGCCAAGAACGAGGACCATCTCTCCGGGTAAGGAGACGCCCCGGAAGTCGTCCAACAGGGTGCGCTCCACGCCCTTCTTCTTCAGGCCCAGAAGGTTGATAATGGGGCTAACGACGTCGAAGAAGCTCACAAAGGCATCGGGAAAGGTGCGGACATAGTTGGCGGTGCCGCCCATACCCTTGACGGTGAGACCATCCCAGTACACACCGATGTGCTTGGGACGAATGCCAGCTTCGCGCTCAGCGTCCAAGCCACCGCGCAGGGCACTTTCCAGGTCGAACTGCTCGAAGCTGCCGTCAGAAGAGGAGGCGGCGAGGTCCACGGCCTTCTCGGGGTCGACATGGACACCCGACTTACGACGGCTGGCAACTCGGCTGGCACGAGAAATGCCCGACAGCTCACGTCGCAGTTCGGCGAAATCGGCCTCGGCTTGCTCGACCGAGACGCCCTGGTCGACGTTTGTGAATCCGCGAGGGTTTCTTCGACGGGCCTCCTCTCGCGCATTCTCGGTATCGGTGGAGGATGCCCTGTGACTGTCCTCAGAAGTCTGGCGGTCGTCACTCATTCTAGGGACTTTATCCGTCATGTTTTTTGGCGGAAGGCTTTGCAGTAGTGGGAAGGGAGGCCGGAAAGAGAGTGAAATAGGAGAAAATTCGAGAGGATTCTCCTGGCCTGAGCTGGCTGATGTCTAGGACACGTCCTCCCACCTTCGAAATGCAGCAACGCTGAGAGTGCGCCCCTCAGCACGATGGCTTTTCTTTTGTGCAGACGGGACGGTTGTTGTGATATCAGAAGGCGATCTCAGTCGTGGCCGTGGCGAGTCAACGCCAGACGACGACCACGAGGCTGGTGATCCGAGACTAGATCACTCTGCGATTTCCCGAGGCGGTACGCACGGTGACGGGAAACAAAGTACGGGAAAGTGAAGAGAATTTGAGCAGCGTTTAAGTCTTTAACGACAAAAAAAGGAGGGGAGGAAGAAAATGGAAGGAATGAGAGTAAAGGGGGAGGAAGAACGAAAAGAAGTATGAGCAGAGTCGTGACGAGGACATCAAAAAAGCAGAGGAAACGAGAGAACAGGCAGGACCAGGAGGGTTCAAATGTTTCAAATGTTCGAAGCCAGCGACTAGATGGATTATGTAAGGTACCTCACTAAAGGGGGGGTTCAAGTACGAGTTAAGTGCCCGAAAATGTGGATTAGGTATATTACAAATCAGGTAAACCCTTGCAACTACCTAAGATTCATGATGAGTCGAAAAACCTAAGTGCCTTGATATAAAAGGAAACGAGGGAAAGAAGAAAGATGTACATACGGATTTAAGTAGGGCGTGGCACAGGTAGCGATTTGGCCGAGGAACTTCCACGGTTGGTTACGGACAATAAGCGGAAGTGGATAGGTAGTGGGTACACAGTATGATGTTCACGTAAACATTGACTGTATGGAGAGCGCACATGCGTCTCAATCAAGCCTAATTCGCCAATAATAAGGTACCTTATGTTACCTTCTCGGGACAAGGCACTTGGATTGGGAACCCTTATCAAAGTATAAGGTACTTACTGTACGAGTGAGGACATGCTACTATTATTTTTTAATCCGGGTTCTAATTAGATGTCCGTTAGAAATACCACTAACAACCGAGTCGGTAGTGTTATCATCTCGTTTCATGCGGCCCATATGCTTGAACCCAACCTTTGTGAGTTTAGTGTTGACGAGGTGCAAAAAAAACGAAAAAGGAAAAAACCCTTGACCAGAGGTGGCGGCGGGTCTGATTCAACGTCGTCCTCGGCCATGATAAAGTCCGGGGTACGGAGTACTGTGTACGGATACCTAGGTACAACACTAAAATTCCAAAATCCGAACCAACGAACCAACCGCTGCCGGATCAGTCGCCCCGGCAAGGAGTCATACCGGTACTCAGTTTGGACATGCAGTGGAACCTCACTCCGGATTTACGAAGCACTCTTTCAAACAAACATGGTAAGAATACCAGCACCCTATTGTCTCCGGTATCTCACCGAATGACAACATTGCCCTCAAGGTGCTTCGTACGTGTCCAGGAGGGTTGTGTTAAAGAAACATGGATATTGCGGTTGTGTCAAGTGAGACCAGAGACTTTCCCACGAGTCCCACTGAACCCCCACTACCCTCCGATTAGTGCTCAGGGGGAAGACGGGCAACGCAAGCTGACAAACCTAGGAGATAAGCATACATGCGATGCGGCATTCTAAGAGGACAAGCTTCATTCCTTTTCCTGTGCTTGCTTACGAAGTAGTTTACCTACTCCCGTCAAGCTAATGATTATTGCTCGGCTTTTCTGTCGACGGTTTTGTCACTAATAAAAACGAGCCCGACTTGGGGTGTCCACTTCGTCTTCCTCTCTTCGTCTACCTACTCCGAATCGCTAACCACCGCCCGCCACAACCTCAGGGCCTATCATATATAGATAGTCTTCCCTGGAGCGTTTTTAAAGCATTGAAGGTCTATGTACGACACACTACAGATATGGCCACCGGCATCAAGGCGCTGGGGTAATTAATTAGAATTCCGACATGCAGAGATTATCTTGAAAGATGACCCACCAAATTCGTTTCCTGGATTAATGGCTTGGCCCCCCATCCCCCCATATCTAGTTTGAATCCAACCAATAGATACCCGAGGTAGTTGAAGTACCCACGTTAAGGAAAATTTTATGATTTGCTGTAAGTAGACATTAAGATTTTGCGGGGAGACTACAAAGAGACAAGGGGGTGCATATATCTGCAGCCCACTTTTAGGGGTTCATTTTGGTACTATTACCGCCGCCATCACATGGAGAATGGCTAAAATTTGTAATGGACTTGCTAGGTATGCTCCGACTGGTACCTTATTACCAAGCTTTTATTCGCCGTCTGCCTCTTTTCTGCCCGTCTTCCGCATAATTATCAAAAGCCCTGTCTAGAATTGGACCCTTACGATAATTACACCTCCAACGGTCGCCCACGTTCTTTTTCTAACCCCCCAAAACGATTCAACACGGAGCCGGTCAGCAGTTGGAGTGACCGTCATCCCCCATCACTATGTACACCGACTCTGTCATATCCCGGCAGGCATGCCGTCCTTGATCAAACCAGCTTACCGATTTGAAACGCGAGAATACCAGAATCTTCGCGTTTCGGCGAAATGCCATGTCGAGGAGGTCCCAGTGAGTCTACGTCAGTAAGTCTGCTCCTTTTGGTCCTACCTCTCCTAGGACGTAAGACGACGCTACGCTCCCTTCGTCACGTATCTCATGCCATGATGGTAGCCGTTCTCTCAGAGCATCTCAATGTTGTACGTTTGCTCCATCGTTTAAGCCGTATTTGGTGACCCGTGCAGAAGTATACCACTCGGCCGTTCCTATTCTCTTTTCTTTTCTTTTCTTTTCTTTTCTTTTCTTTTTTTCGTCGTGTCGTTTCGATTTTTCTTTTCCTATTTTTTCAAGTGTCGGTGAATGTTCCCGAACACTCATAATCGACAAACAATTGTGGAGAAGAGGGGCGAGAATCCAGCCCGTAATTACGGGGGGATACGTTGACATGCAGCCCGAGCGAGTCCAGCTGTGACCTGTCTCATTTCGTCCGCCAGTCCGGCCGAGATAGGCGAGTCGAGTAAGGTAGTCGACGGCCGCTTGAGCCGTCTCCCGAGACTGATCCGCAGCCTCCGTCATCCCTTGTCCCTTGTCCCCTGTCTCGCTCTGGCCCGATGACTCCACATTATTCATAGGTAATACACGTGTAACGATTTTGTGCAAGGGGCCAAACTCCGGGCTTAACTCCGTGTGCTCCTACGGATAATTTCTCCGTACCAATTCTGAACAGCCGCTGTGAGATGTGGAGGAGGGACTGAGAATGCAACTGAAACCACAGCCCACATCCACCTGTTCTGGATTCTTGAATGTGAACCGTATCCTCTGTAGTTCTTGCACTAGGTACGATGGTAGCTGTGGAGGCTTAATTCATCAGACACATCGCGTCAGAAGCAGAGCGACAATCTAGAAAAAAGCCGTAACTTATTTATATATTTTTTTTCTTCTTTCATCTCGAGAGCTAAAGAAGAGACATGGACTCCAGAGAGAGCGCAGAACAAAACGGAGAAGGGAGAGGGACAGCGAAGACACCATGGTATCCTGCCATGACTGGATCTCGACCGAAGCGTTCCTTCCATGCCAATCGTGTGAGTCGGAGTGGCTCAACGACGTGACCTTCTACCGTCCATGACGCGACCCTTTCTATTCCAGAACTTCTTCTTGGGACCTTCTTGGGCCTTGCTGCCATTGTCTGCGGGTTGCGCTTGAGCTTGAGCCTGAGCCTGAGTCGGCTTGAGATCGGTCCCTGGTTTCGGCAAGGGTTTGACCCGAGTCGTGTCGATGATCACAGGCGCGTCCAGCTCGATTCCACCCATACCCCACCAATATCCCCAGAGGAACAGCGCAGCCAGGCCAGAGGATCTGAAGATCAACGAGATCCATCTTCCCAGTGCTCGTATTTTTATCGCCGTATATCGTCGGACAGCGGGAACGTAATATATGGAGAGGAAAGGCGTCATGACTGCGAAAAGAATGATCGATCTACGTTCTGCCCAGCTTGGCTCGCCGCAAAACGTCAGACCTGTCGGGAATGAATCCGCTGGCGCAACCATGACCCGATTCTAACGGGAAAAGGTGCTGTTGAGGGCGGAATCCAGTCGCATGACGATGAACGGACTCCAGTACTGCCACAAGAGCAGCCCGAACTCAAGGTCCCTGGGCATCCACCAAGACCAAACCCGTGACCACACGAGCGACACGGACAGACAGGACGGCCAGTACGCAGACAAAAACGAGAATCGGGACCACGAGAATGGCCATTGCGGAGAGAGGTTATCCAAGGACTGAGTTGATTTCGCAGCCCACGGGTGTTGTCGCGGCGTGGATTTGAAGGCAGGCATCTTCGAAGAATCCAGTTAATCGCGATTTTGTTTCTTTCGGTCCAGGGAGGGAGAGTGGTGAACCTGATGACGACAACTTACTGCGGCCCTGGGAAATTGGTATCAGTCTGGGCTATTCGAGAAGGACAGTTGGTTTAACAGAACCGCAGAGAGAAGTGATACGTTTCTGTAAATATTCTACTGGTGAAAGCAGACGGATTGCTGAAGGGAAACTGGAGGATGGAGGGCAGCTAGAGCACTAGGGTAGGTGAGTTCCTGCTATTGTAAAGAGACACCGAAGAAGCAGCTACCCGGGAGTCTAACCCTAATGACACCCCAAGCAGCACAGCAATTTGCCGTAACCCAGCATCATTCATACAAAGTAACAACTCTGGAGAGCCGTGTTTTGAACGAGTCGTTAGAGGACCATCACAGAAACGGGGGCCTCAGCGTGACGATGACGAGAAAGATGAACCAGAGCTAATTAGTCAAGGTACTGGTTTGAGAGTCATCAGGAACGGCAAAAGTACGAGACACCTATCTGCCATGTTACTAAGAGTAATTCAAATGCCAAATTAATGCTTGATCCATGAGTCTTATAAGGGCGAGTATTGAGGTTTCATAAGATTTAGAGGAGCAGTTGAATAACCTCTTGGCGACGTCATCTTCATAATGTATATTTGGTCCCTAGAAGCTGATTGGAGCTTGGGGGCTCTTGAAAGCATTGTAGGGGCAATATATACTCTTCATCTTATAATTACTGCATGGCAAAGAACTTCGTCGGGAGCTGGTAATCCTCTTCAGGGAAAGGGTTGGATTTCATTGAAAGTCCGGCCGCCCGGTGCTGCTCCATAGACTCATGTTGTTGAGAGAGCTATTTGGACTCCTATGTATGCCAAAGAAAGAAAGCATGAATGGTAGTAAAGAAATGGCCGTTATGCACTTAGAACACGGATGCTCGTTGTGAAGAAGGGAAAGTAGCCATATCTGACTGGTAAGGTATTTGCACTTCGCAGAAGAGCTGTCGACCCAAAAAAGCAGTGCACTGGTAAAAATGAGAACAATCCATTTTCAAGATCAAAGGGCAAGCACAGATCTGGATCTGGATAGCTATGCCCAATCAGAAGCTCAGTTCATACCTACATGTACCTCGAGCTGCGTATCATTCGGCTAAAACAGGACACTAATCCTTTTATGGACTAGGGGCCGTATCTGAAGTCTTCAAGCTGTTGCTGATGTCAGCAGTTGGGCCACAATACAGCCACAGCTACGAAGAAGAGGTAGCTAGCTACCCCAAAAACATTCCACACCTTATTTCATTTTTTCTTTTCTTTTTTATTATCAAGTTCCGCGTCTCGCGTCGCACCACTTGTTTTTCTCTTCCACCCATTCCACCCTTCTGCTCCTTCCCATCCTCAAGTTATTTCAAACGTCCTCTTTACCCAGAGGTGCTTTGTTATTTCAGGCCTCCCTCCCTAATTACGGCCACTTTCCTTTCCCTCATCTTTCTGAAGTCGCAGCTCTGTGCGGCGCCTGGCCACTTGACTACATTGGTTGTCAGTGTGCGTTCCTACGTCGCCTAATCCGACTGCCAGCAACCCAACCCAAACCACTTCACTTCATTCAGTCTAAGACGATGCCTTCCAGGGTCAGTAAGACCGCGACTGCGGAGTCAAAGTCGAAAAAGACGACGACTGCTGCCGGGAAGAAGACGACAGCCAAGGCGGCCACAGCCAAAACCTCCAAGACCGCGACCAAGAAGGCCGAGCCTGCAACTCAGAAGCAGACCGCGAAAGAAACCACCACCAGCACAGCTGCAGCTGCAGCTGCATCCAAGAAGCGCAAGGCCGAATACGAGCCTTCCGACACCCCAGAAGAAGATGTCCCCAAGGTCAAGAAGTCCAGGACCGCCACGGCTCCGAAGAAGGCAGTGGCCAAGGCCGTTCCCAAGAAGGCGACCGGCGCTGCCAAACGCCAGGCAACGGTCGAGCCTGCCGAGACAAAGGTGAACGAGAGGAAGAAGAGGGCTGCCACCCCCGCGGAGAAGAAACCCGCCAAGGCTCCCAAGGTCCCCAAGAAGACCCCCGGGCCGAAGGAGCCCGAACCCAAACCGCACCCCCATCAGGTCGGTCCCAAGATCAATGACGCACCCGCCACCATCCTCGACGTCTACGTCTTCGGTGAAGGCTCTTCCGGTGAGCTGGGCCTGGGCAGCCAGAGGATCGATGGCAAGAAGCCCGTCGACGTAAAGCGACCGCGCCTTAACCCCAACCTCTCCGCCGCGTCCGTCGGTGTCGTTCAGGTCGCCTGCGGCGGTATGCACGTCGCGGTCCTTACCAAAGATAACACCATCATCACTTGGGGTGTCAATGACCAGGGTGCCCTTGGCCGCGATACCAAGTGGGATGGAGGTCTTCGCGACCTGGACCAGGCTAGCGACTCGGGTTCGGACGATGACGATGACGATGATGACTCTGGCCTCAATCCCCTCGAGAGCACGCCGACTGCCGTCTCGGCTGAGCATTTCGCCCCGGATGCCAAGTTTGTCCAGCTCGTGGCGAGCGACAGCGCCACCTTTGCCCTGACTGAGGATGGACGCGTCTACGGCTGGGGCACTTTCCGCGTAAGTATCCAGTCGCCCCCTGCAACAGTATCTGCCTTATCTTCTCTGGTATCATGAACGGAACACAAGTTAACCCATCCTGGATACCCCTACAGTCTAGCGACGGTATCCTCGGCTTCAGCCCAACCATCAAAGTTCAATATACCCCGCATTTCATGCCAGACCTCAAGAACATCAAGACCCTCGCGTCGGGATCCAACCACGTCCTCGCCCTCGACACCAAGGGCAACATCTTCGCCTGGGGCTGCGGCCAGCAGAACCAGCTCGGTCGACGCATCATCGAGCGCAAGAAGTTGACCTCGCTCATCCCCCAGAGCATAGGTCTCGCGAAAAAGAGCATCGAGAAGATCGCCTGCGGGCAGTACCACAGCTTCGCCATTGACACCGGCGGCAAGGTCTGGGCCTGGGGTCTCAACAACTTCGCCGAGACCGGCATCCGCGACGGTGCCGGCGAGGATGACGCCATAATTCTGCGCCCTACCGTCGTCGAGGCCCTCTCGGACCACAAGATCATCGACATTGACGGTGGTCAGCATCACTCGCTCGCCTGTTCCCAGGACGGCACGCTTCTCACCTGGGGCCGCTTTGACGGCCACCAAGTTGGCCTCTCCGAGAAGGAGGTTGACGACGATGACCTCATTCGGGATGACAATAATACCGCTCGTATCTTGGCCGTCCCCACGGTCGTCAAGGGTATGCATACCCCCCATTTCCCTTTCCCGTCCCACTACCACTCTAGACGAGTCAAGAAATTCCGCAAAAGACATGACCACTGATTTCTTTCACTAGCCGTTCAAAACGTCTCTCGGGTTGCCGCAGGCACCGACAACAATTTCGCCGTTACCTCGGACGGCAAGGCCTACTCCTGGGGCTTCTCTATCAACTACCAGACCGGCCAGGGCACCATCGACGACATTAAGGTGCCCACTCTGATCGACAACACCGCCATTCGCGGCAAGAAGATCGTTGCCGCCGGCGCAGGCGGCCAGTTCTCTCTCCTAGTTGGCGAGGCTAATGCCAGCCTGACGAACGGCGTCAACGGTCACTAAATTAGAGCTTAGACACGAGATGCTCCCGACACACTCTCTCGCCATGCGCGAGGGATGAAAAACAACAACCTTGCCGAGCTCTCTCTTCATGAGACGTCTTGGAGGAACGTCAGTATCCTCCGTCCTCCTAGCCCAGCTGGCGCCACCCTCTCGAATACCAATGTGCTTCTGGGTCGGACGGACGGATAAGGGCTCTTCCAATAGAGGTGGAGTTTGCGATTCTATGTTGCGGGGCTGGAGAAAAAAAGAAGAGGTGCCATGGAGGTGTAGGATATTTAGAGGATCGGATATCTTGCGGCGCTGGAGGACTCATTGCTTTTAGTATCCAGGGGAAGAGGAAAGAGGGAGGGGTAGTTTTTGCGCTCCTACCATCGCGACTAGGAGTCTGTCCTGGCCTCAGTCTCAGTTCGTGATCTGAGTTTTATAATAGTATACTGTCACGGGGCCTTTTGCTTGAACGATTGGGAACATCTGTCTGCTCGCTCTCTTGCTGGGTACAATCTTATTGACCGGAGTTCTTGACTTTATATACATGGACACAGCTGAGAGAGCACGGAATGAACGCAGATCCTTGCGAAGGGAAATCATCCTAGCATATTCTTATTCTTTTCATTTCGCTCTTTTCCCCCCTCCCCCGCTCGTGCTTTGACGATGGTACTCTCTCGCTGTGCGACACTTAAATGTCGTGTGCCTTGAAGAGTAGATTGATAAATAACCTTGCGCCGTGTTGCTAGTCTGCCACTACCAGAAGAACTCCATCCCGTCATGCAACGTTGCCATCTCGAACCCCCCGTCCCCCCCGTCCCCCCGCCGTCGTGTAGAAAGGGGGCGGGGCATTAGAGATTGTGTTTTCCTCCGCTGTTCAGACGCGCCCTTATGGTCTCAACCACGGTATACGTGATTCTTTCACGCCTTGAGGCCCGCAGCAAGCGACGCGCCACCGCCGCGCGAGCTGAAAATGCCCATGATGCCGAACCCGACGTAGAAGAGCGCGAGGGGGTAGGCGACGAGGGCACGCATGCTGCGCATGCGGCCCACGGCGCAGAACATGCCGGACGCGGAATAGGTAGACCACAGGATGGCGGCGGCGGTGAGGACGATGCCGAGCGGGGTGTCCATCGGCATCACCACGCCGACCAGGCTCGTGGCCACCAGCGGGAGGAGGCAGTAGCCCAGGACGGAGCTCGAGCGCGCGAAGGTTAGCGTGCTGGAGAAGTGGCCTGGTCGGCCTCCGGGGCCCCCTGCCGCCGAAACACCCGTGGGCCCTGACCCGGGATAAGCGGCGGTGGAGGAATCGTATTGCGGTCCGGCTGGGTGGTGCGAGTCGTCAGGATCTGGGCCGGAGGGGGTCATGAGGGAGAGGATGATATGGAGGGAAATGGAACCCAGGAGGGCGAGGCCTGTGGTTTTCGCAGAGTTAGCCTTACGTTCAGGAATGACTGTCCCGATTCTGGACTTTATACGAACCGTAGATGTATCCGAAATGCACCTGGCCGGAGAAGAGAAGGAAGGTGCCGAAGAGGAGGAAGAAGAGGATGGGGCCGGCGAGATCGGAGTCGTCCATGACATGTTGGTCGATGCGTCGGAAGGGGTTTAGCACTGCGAGGGTCTAGAGAGACGATAGGAAGGATGTTAGCATCCGAACTGGTTGCCAAGGCGCGGGGAGAGTAGAGGAGAGTATGGATCTGTTGTCGCATGACTACCCGGGAATTCTGTTGCGACGGACCTTTGCTCGAATGTGGGTAAAGTTGACTCCAAGCTCCTGAGCAGCGAGTTAGCTAGACCACCGATTCGAGACAATAACGCCATAATGAGTATGAGGATTTACCTCCAATAGGGGCGGCTCTCCCTCATATCCCTCCGTCGAGAACGCTGCCAGCCATCCTGTCCTCAGACCGCCCTGCTCTCCCATGCGGCCAGACACGCCAGGGCCGCTGCCAAACCCGGAATTGAATCCCGATGGGCCGGCTCCATATTGCCCGCCGGTTTGAGGCGCAAAGCCGTAGGGCTGTTGCGGTGTGGCCGGGCCCGAGACGCCCGCGGAGTAGGAGGATGGGAAGAATTGTAGGTTCTGGGCTCCCGTGGGGGGAGGCGGAGCACCGTAGGACGTTTGTTGCGGGTTGTAATAGTTGGACATGATTGAAGCGGTGTCGTTCAATGGGAGGGTATAAGTAAAGAGGTCGGAGTGTCCCGGGGGGGGGAGGGGGGTTGGAGGCTCTATGGGAGCTGTTCCGTGTTCGAGAGTTGGCTGTCCCGCCGAGCGAAGGCTATGGCTATGAAGCGGACAGGTTGGCAGGAGTTTTAAGCTTTGGAGGGTTTATAGTTGGCAACGGTTGTATGATTCGCTTCGCTTTATAAATGCAACTTCGTCGGCGCCTGGAGCACAGCACACAAAAGGGCTGTGTCGTGGTGAAAGTCGGAAGACTTTTGTCAGCCACGGTGTCGAATTGGAAGTTGGTGATTATTATCGATGCCTGCCCCTGCGGTGAGGATGACAACGAATTGCCTTGGATGCGAGGCGGCTTAAGCGTCCACACGCGAGTGTGTACGTAATCATGAATCCTACTACAATCACCTTAGTAATCAAGTTGCGGCTAATACTCGGCTAAGATGGTCCCCGAGAACCGGTCTTGGAATATTCCAGGTGGTCGGCCATGATCGCATCTATTGGCTCGTGATGGATTTTTTCGAGCCATAGATCCACGCCTCTATCTTGGACGCTTTCATCTCTAGAGAAATCCAACTCTCCTCGACCTCCGCCGCAGCATCCATTCTCCATCTTTTAAGTCTGAAAGTTCAACGAGCAAACTTGTGCTCGTCATAAGCGACAATGGTATGGGATCCTCTCGCCTTACAGACGCGCTGGCCATCCTCCGCGTTCTCCCCGTTATCCCGGCTTTCTTTTTG